TATTTTAGTCACCAGTTCCTTTGTGAAATCTTACTGTTCAGTGATAAGGTATATTTAACTTTTTAAACGTGTATTTTTTTCTCCGTGGGAGACTGGTTATTTAATCCACCACAGTGCCTAGAAAAGATATAAACAATAAGCATTTGTTGACTAATTTCGAAAAGAATTTTTTAGATAATACTAATATAGTTTATAGTCCTTTTATTTAGAAAAGCTTAAAGTGGATTACAGATGTTACTCCAATAATCCTGATGGCACTTCTATGCAACTCATCAGTATTATCATCCTGGCACTGCCCTTGATTTAGGCAGTCAACCGATATTTAGATGACTGAATTATCACATGCTCACATTTAGTAAAACTAGAGATATTAAAAGAGATTAGTAATCAATACTGAATTTCCAGTTGCTAAGCAAGAAGCAATAAAAGGATAGAGGAGAAAACAGATGTGGATTGAGGGCAGAGGAGAAGCAGAGATAAAGATGAGAAAGTACATTCAGACCTTAGAATTCAGCTTCTGATCGTCAGAGAGACTGACTGATCCAGGTGAAAGCATTTTGTCATGTCATGCCTGTGGCCAAAAGTCTCCAGTGTTGGAGCAAAGCCTGATATAGCCCTGCACTTTCAGAGAGGATCGTGGTCAACTAATAAGACCGTGGAAGAGAAGGAGGCAGTGAGGAGAGGGCAAGGCTCCTGAGTGATGCTCCGTGGGCCACGCCAGCAGCACCACCTGAGCTTTCTGTTGCGGCATCTCTGACCCTCACTGCAAGAACCAGGAGCGGGCTCAAAATTCCACCTGCTATTCTCTGTCTACAAGATAGCTTCACTATATGGCAATTGAGAATTAAGCAGAAAGACAAATAATAATGACTTACATGAGAGAGAGGAGACCACATTAACTGACACACGGGCCCAGGAGTATTAATATAACCAATTGGCTTATAATCATTTTCCACTTCAAAGAAGAAAACAGTTTGATCTTTACTCTAAGGAAAAAGAGACACACCAACCAAATATATATTACTATGAAATCTAGTCTGTAGACCACAAAAAAGCATTTAAAAAGCATACAGTATCTCTATCTACAATGGTCATATATCCCAGATCGTTCAGGGACGATTCTTATTTCAAATATTTACTCCATTTTCCCCCATCAGAACATTTGGCAAACCATGTGTGCATGTGGTTCTGAAAATACAGTCACCATACTTTCAGAAATTCACAAGAAAATTCTACCATGTATGTGCTCACCTATTAGTGCATAAAGAATTTACATGGTATTCTCTCCATTTATGGCAATTCTGTGTAAGTACATAACTATGCTGAAGCTGATTATAAATAATACAATCTAGCATGATCCCCAGTTGAAATGTTCTGTTCACTTAAAATAAGCATTTCAATTTGTAAGAATATTTTAAGTGTTATTCACATGCTCCAGCTCTCTTCTGATTAAAAAAAGGGTTATTCACAGACCACACTGAAAGAATTTGGCTACGAAGGAAGCAAATGGGAATAGATTGATAGAAAATGGTTTTCAGTGGATAAGTCATGATGAGTAGGAGGAGTTACAAGCGAATGTTAACCATGAAGGTTCAACAAGAAAAGAAAGGAAATGTGCTGCTTACCCCTGTGGCTAGAACTTCCCCATCACGCTCATAAGATAGAGCAGTGACACAAGCAGTATGGGGTTTGAAGACCTGTTTCAACTGAATATCAGCATCCAAAATTTTCTTCCGTCCCGCGAAAACTGTGAGCCCTTTTGGGTCGTAAAGTTCAAGAAGCCGAACAACCCCGTCTTCAAATCCTACAATAACTTGTGCTCCAGTATAGTTCACCTTGGAAAAAGTTAAAGACAAGGGACCCGAAATTAGTTGGGAATGTTGTACTATATAACAGATGTTTCATTTAGAATGAGGTGCTTTCATATTGGCTGCCGACCGGCAATTCTTTATACTGTCTGGTGATCTCTGTCGATTGTAGCACAGTTCTTTATGAACAATGACCACGAGAAGGATCAACAATGGCAATCCAAACAATGAATGAACCAACCGTAGAATGTCTGCCTACCGCACGCTCAGCACCCGTCATCAGCAACTCAGTGGTGAATATAAAAAGGCTCAGTGCCTGGCTTCACAGAGTTTTGGACTAGTGAAAGGTACAGACATTAGTCATACATGAATGAGCATGAAATTATGAACTAAGTGCTAAAAGAAAGAAACATATTGTCTGGGCTCAAGCATATAACAAAGAAGGCTGACCTCCACTTACGGCTTCCCTAAGAAAGAGGTGGTAGAGCTGATGACAGAAGGTACAGGAAGGTAGGAGAAGCACTCCTACGAGAGAATATAACTTGTGCAGAAGTCCTGTGTCAGGAAGTAACAGACTCAAGAAAAAGTTATACTCTGAAAGAGTGAGAGAACAATGCTTCCTTCCCTCGGCGGCTGGAGAGGAAGACAGGCAGGCAGCAGATCACACAATGGCTTCCATGTTGCATTTAGAAGAGTCTTCATCCCAGAGCAGTGGAAGGCCATCAAAGTGTTTTAGCTGGGTTCCAGGGGGAGGTGGTGTGGAAATGGTCAGATTTGCTATTTTTAAAATGTCATCCTAGCTGCAGTGTGGAAAATAGACATGAGATGGTTTAGATATGATGCTGGGAGAACTTCTGAAAGACCTTTTGAGATGGCTTCTGCACTTCAGGGAACTATTGGTCTGAGGTAATGCAGTGGAGATGAGGGATTTGGATATACTTAAGGAAGAGGCGTAATGGCCCTACTTGGTGACATCTGGATATGGGGAATGAACAGACGGAGGAGTCACAGATGACTGATAATGGCACTTACTGAGACAGAAAACACTGGAAGGGAGCCAGGTGTGTGTGGTTTGTAGTTGCTATTGTTGATTTAGAGAAAAGGCTGGTTGGGGATGTGTGAAAGACATGACTTAGTCTTGGAAACTGAGTTTGAGGTCCCCTTGAGATTTTAAAATAAGTATGTCATAGTCTGCACCTTAGAGGAAATGTCTGAGCTAGAGATATAAAACTACCAATGTCTGAACGTACTAAATCTGCTGTCTTGGAAGGTATTAGGGAGAAGGGCAGGAGCCTGGGCATACTCTAGAGCTCAGGGACCACCAGTGAGGAGAATCTGGGGAATAAAAAAGCTGTACGCCACTCAACTCCAGTTGAGTGTTGTTTACTCAACAAAAATTTACTAAGTGTCTAAAAATACCAGTAACTATAGAGGCACTGGAGGTACAAAGAAGAATAAGGCCTGGTTGTCGCCATGAAAAACAAGCAGTCTAATGGGAAAGACAACATTAGTTGTCTGTGTGCTGTGATAAACGCTATAAGAGATCCATGCACAGCACTATGGGGGAACAAAACCACAGAGGAAGGAGGCCCTAGCTCTACTTGGAGGTAGATTCATGGAGGGCTATGCAGAGATGATGTCTGACCTGAGCTGGGTCATACAGACTGATGTGTAGCCTTCCAGAAAGGTCAGGGCGTGGGGAAAAGGGACATTTTAATTGTAGCCTAAAATCTATATTATCATTCCTTGTATATAAGCCTCAAGAAGGAAACATCCTATGGACACTGCATGACTATCTGAATAAACAATTCAGTTACCTGGATTGTGGCTTTAAGACTTCAGTTAAGAGTGTAAATAGATTAGGACAGAGAGGGAGCCACATCTGCCCGTCCAAACGCTCTGTCATTTCTGCTTACTCTACCTCGTCATGAAGATGGCTCTGTTCCCGGGGCTGAGTTCTCCTGGTCTTGATCCCATCATGAAACTCCCCCTCATTCCATTTGTAGCCACATTGACTTTTAGCCTGGAATATTTTCTCTTTAATTTCAACCCAAAACAGTGAAGATTAAATACACCCCCAAATACTTCCATGGCATTTTAAAGATATGGCTGCAAATCCCTGACATGCCTCCCATGGAGAGATGGGGATTAAGTCCCCTCCTCTTGACTCCGTATGGGGTTTGTGACTGCGTGGCTGCTCCACCCAGTCAAGTACGGTAAAGTGATATTTTGACTTCTGGGGGATGGGCCATAAAAGGCCATCAGCTTCTGCCTTTACTGTTGGAACACGAGACCTTGGAGCCCTGAGCTACCAAGTAAAAAGTGTGTGACTGTCCTGAGGCTGCCATGTTCTGATGAAGCCTGAGCCACGTGGAGAGGGTATTAGGTAAACACTCCTGTTGGCAGTCCCAGCTTAGTCTAGCCTTCAAGTCACCAAACCCAGGTGTCAGCTTTGCGATCAAGAAGCCTTTGGATTATTCCAGGCCCAGACATTCATGTCTTCCCAGTCGAGTTCCCAGACACCCTGAAGCAGGGACAATCCATCCCTGCTGTCACCTGAATCCCAATGCAAAGACTGCATGAGCAAAATAAAATGATTATTATTTTATGCCACTATATTTTGAGATCGTTTATTACACAGCAATTGACAAATGGAACGACTCTCTATCCAAGCCTATTTTTTTTCTGTAGTTCTTATCATTATCTAACATAACATGTACTTAACTTACTTATTTTGACTACTGTCTGTCTCTGCCTCCCTCCCACTAAAGCATACGGTCCATAAGGTGCAAGTATTTTTGTCTTTTTATTCACTGCTATATTCCCAGAAAGTAAAACAAAGCTTGGCACATTGTTGGCACTCTGGAAATATTAATAGAATGAATGAAATCAAAGTCAGATAGATAAAAGCTAGATACACAAAGGTCTCTTGGGAAATTGCTTTGCAACATGAAACTATTACGAATCTGCAGGTGGCATAAAAACAGAAATTTTACTAAAAACAAAACCAAACTCATGAAAACAATCACAGTAAAGATTTCTATTACATTCTGACTAAAACAAACTAACTTAAAACTTTTATTATTCCCTAAAATTTTGAGTCGGCAAATATCTGTATTTCCAAGATAAAGAATTGATACACCGTATTTACCAACAGATAGATTCTAATAGTTCATGACAACAAAAACTTACCATTCGGGGAACCCAAACAAGGGCAGTACCTCCTTGTCTGAATTTCATCTGAGCCAAAGGGGTTTTGCTGGCAAAATCATAGATTCGAACAGAGCCTATGGAAAGACAGTTTTAAAAGAAAAAAAAAAAATTATATACATATTTTTTAAAGTCTTGGTTCACTTTTTACATGTTGAATATTATAACAAGAAATTTCTTAACGAAATCAGTAAATAACTTTCTTTTGTAAAAAATTTTCATGTACAACCTCAAACAGGTAATTCATAAACATGAATAATAAAAAGGATAACAGATGATTGACTGGTGGGTCAATTTTACCTTGCATGGTCCATATAGATTTGCCATGAGAAGGAAAGAATAGGAAAAAACTACGAATGTGGACAATATGAAAACGAGCAGCATTTTCATGAACAATGTATAGACTGTGTCCTTATTTCAATCTCTCACATTAACCATGGCTGCTGCATTTTGTGCCCTCTCCTCTCTACAATGCCCTTCACTTGCATTCAAGGGGCTCCCCTTTTGGGAAAATTCTCAAATGCTCTTCAGTCAAACACATATAAAAATTGAATTGCAAATAGAACAAACAAGGCCAGATATAGTTTAACGAAGAGTTTCTACTTACAGTCCAAGGCAGTTGTGGCCATGAGGTAAGTGAGAGGAGAAACAGCCACGGCTTCGACGGCTCCAGAATGGAAGGAGAAGAGGCATTCCGGGTCCTGGGTCTGAGAACAGGCAGACAAAGACGGGCTTAACAATCATGTTTTAAAAATGTAAACAGAACAATATAACACGTGTGTGATTTTATTTGGATAGAAATAAGAAAAAGCACAAAAAGCTAGAAAGAACACTGGACTTCAGGATCAGAACCAGCTGGAGTCCTGGGCTTCGCCCTTAATGGCTGTGTGACTTTGCACAAGTCACCCCAAACTCCAGTTTCCGTTTCTTCATCTGTAAAATGAGAGGATAACAGCTGCTTGTCTACTAAATAGGGCAGTGATGAGGGCCACGTGAGATAAAATAAATGAAAATTCCATATATTTATAAAAACGATCAAGCATATATCGTGTTATCATGTTAGGTATTGTCACTGCCACTTTTCTGGTGAATTATGCTATGAGACAGATTCTTTTTTATGTAAAATGATAGTGGGAGAATTCTCAAGAGTAGCACGTGTTAAGCAAGTTTTTATGAGAACCATGATCAAATATGGGGAAAGATAAATACTTTAAAGACAAACAACAATTGTTTTTGTATTTTGTTATAAAAGTTAGGGGAAGATGAGAATAATAGGCAACTTACAATATTTGAAAAACTAAGGTCAAGCTTCCATATGGCTCCACTGGCATCCTAAAAGAATTAAATACCCAATAGTATGTTATCATTGTAAACTTTCATCAAAATGTTCTTCCTATGACTTATTAAAGTAAGGACAAGCAATAATATCAAAAGCTCACATATATTTTAAAGTACAATTAAAATTTTATAAAATCAACTTCTATATTTTAGAATACAACCACACAATAAACAATCTCATAACAGAGTCAAATGGACTTGTAGCCAAATCAGTCATATAATTATTTTAAGTTTTTGTCCACGTAATGTTAAAGAGCTAAGAGAGAAGAACACGACATACCTGAGCCAACCAAAAGTTATTTCCAGTTTCACTCATTTTTATCATAGAGAAGAGTTTCACGTTCTTGTCTACTTGAAGTTCATTAATAGGCTCGATCTGCAGCAATCCGGTCTCATCTATTGTATCAGCAGTGTCTATTGTCTCAAAATCCCATATCTTGTAAAATGAAAATACTTTCATCAATCAGTAGTTTCTGAACATTTATTTTCTAAGCCAGAAAAACCCTGTTTTTTTTTCAAAAGTCATTTCTTTTTCTCTCATGAAAAGTAACAATGAATAGGTATAGTAAGAACAGCAGCCAAAACCTGACCCTGGAAATTCATTCTGAACTCAAGTATGGCAAGTTATTATAGGTTCCTTTGTATTTAAAAAGGTTAGAAAGAACAGCCTTGCAGAAGAATTTTATTTTGTCCAAAAAAAATTTTATTTCAAAGTTTCTATTAGGTCTCTTTTTGTGTAAAGTGGCCATTAGGAGTACATGGTCCGGCTGTTCAGGAAGACATTACAATGAGCCTTGTCTTCTAAACACCAGGAGGCCCCTGGAAAGGGGAAATACGTCTTCTTGCTTGAACACATTCTATATTCTTTGCTTATCTCATTATAAGCAAAGAATATAGATGTAGATAAAGCCTCCATTAGAAAATGTTTCTCTTCCTGCATATTAATATTTCACACTTTACTGTCTCATAATAAGTGAGATAGCAAATGCTACTATCTCACAGTGAGACAGTAAAGTGTAGGTTGTTGTTCATTGGGAGAGGAACAGTGCAGAAGGGTGAGGGAGCACAGTTCCACGTCACGGTGGCAGGGAGACTCAGAAGGACTTCCCCTGTGAGGGGCCAAAGCTCATTCTGGACAGTTCTGGTGACATACCCTGTCATATGATCCCAGACTGCATAACTGAGGCTTTGAGAAAGAGCTCAGGGGACTGTCTCATAGATTAGCCTGGCTGGGGGAAGAGGGAAATATCTGAGGGTCAGGGTTAGTAGGGTTAGGGATCAGACCAGGATCAGACTAACTTCTGGGAGTTGGGGTAGGTTTTTTCTAAAGGGTAACAGGTAGAGATTTACAGTGTGAAGGACTGAAGAGACAAGGACAGGCTCTGAAAAGAGAGGCAAGCTTAGGAATTACTGGTGGCCATGAAGAAATCCTCTGTGAAATATTTGACTTCTTTTCTCCTGAGATTTTCTCCCAGTTGGTATTTAGACATTTGGGGGTAATGTATATTTTGGAAAGACAGCAAATATATGGCAAAATAAAGGACACGAAGCTCCCCAGAGCAATGTGTGACATCTAACAAGATTAAACGTAATACTGTAAATGTTAAAACCTACGCTGGGCTAAAAAAGCCGGTGGTAAGAGGATCCACTGTCGGAGACATGGATTAAACAACAGATTAAACACGGTAAGCTCAACTGGTGGCACAGAGTGACCAGACTCTTAAAAATATCGTCTCACTTTTGATGACACTTCTGAAACAACTGTCAGTAGAACACTGCAACTTTCTTATGAAAGGCCCCGCTGAAAACATCTACCGAGAGGCCTACAAGGCAAATCACAAAGCTACAGGTCGACTAGCCACAGCGGGATACTCAGTAACAGAAAGTGCTACCCAGAGTGGGTGGGAGAAGTGTGACAACAGCAAGGGGGCCTCGGAAGCTGGAGCAGTGTCCCAGCTTAGCCCAGGCTTTGGACAAGACTGTCCACAAGAGGAAGCGAGTGGGTCCTTAGCATACGGGGCAAGAAGAGCGTTGCATTTGTGGGCAAACTCCACCAGTTCACCTCTGGGTGTATTTCCAATCGGTAACTTCAGTAAAAAATAACTAACAAACGTTCAGCGCCTTTGGCCCATTCACATGAAGGCTTCTGGAAGGATATGTGGGTCTACGGTTTATCCTGTTCTAACATGAGTTTTCATCTTCTGAAGCTGTTATTCCAACAGAATCCAAATAACAAGAGGCCTCTTAATTCACTGCACTTTCCCCTCAGTGGTAAAGCAGTAACTTAATTTTGACGATAATGCAAATATTTGCCACAGGAGAAGCATCACTAAAGGGAGTTGGCCTTGGGAATACAGGACTGCTGATCTCCTTCACAAAATAACCTTTATGAGAAATAAAACCCTTTGGGTGATCTGCAAGCCTTAAACATGGGTGGTACCATCCAAGTACCAAGGAGACTTACCCTAACACAGCCATCTGACCCCGCAGTGATAACTTCCCCCTCGTACAGCAGTATCTGGTTAATGGGACCACTGTGACATGACTTGCTTGTAGCTCGACAGAGCTCCACCTTGATCAGACCGCCTTCCCAAAGCAGCATGTTACCCCATTCTGACCCTGAGAGCACCTGGCAGGTATGTGGAAAAAAGGAATGTGCGTTACAACAGGTAAGTGTACATACTCATGCTTCAAACAGTAGGTGAAAATTGTTTTTAAGGTTATTTTTATTGATTATAAAATTTTAACATGGAAAAATATAAAAAATACGGAAAGAAAGACCTACTACCCCAGACGCAACTACTAATAACATTTGGATATATCTCCTCCTAGCATTAGGAAAAGTTTCACATCTTGGGATTAGGCTGAATGTTGTTGGTAATTGTTCATTTGTGTATACAATAGACTTCTTGGTACGTCTCATAGGACAAAATACAGGAGTGGAATTAGATGACAGTCTACTTTTTAAGTGTAATATGATCAAATTTTAGATATTAGATAGCTTGTAAGGCCAGTCCTGAACTAAGTAGATTATAGCATAATAGTATCCAACTTCAAACAAGGGTAACCATCTAAAACCTTCTCAAATTAATCCAGTTAATGTGGCATTTCCCCAAGTGCATACCACCAGACATTAGTTCTTAAGATGTTTAACAAGTGTCTCAAAATGAAGTAATATTTATTGAGCATTGACTCTGTGCCAGTACTGGTTCAGTACTTCAAATATGTTAAGTTATTTAATGCAAAAAAAAAAACCATATGAACTATGTCCATTTATCAGGGATACCATGTACAGTTGTGCATGTTGGGTACTTCATTCTCCTAGAAGAAACAGCTTTTTTCTCACTCCCACAGAAAAACCAAATGGGCCAATGGTATCCCTATTGTTATCCCCATTTTACAGAGGAGAACACTGAAGCATAAGCTTGCCCAAAACTACCCGGCGAGCATTCTATTCCAGGCAAGGGGGCTCAAAGCTTCCTATTCTCACTGCACAGCCTTGGAATGCAGACGCCAGGATAAAAAGTTAAGCAACTTTATTTTCTCTAGGATCACTGGGAACTCTTCACGGAGAAGCGTTTGCTGGGAATCACCAAGGGGAATTTTTCAATACAAAGGAATTTGACTTAAAAAGTCTTATTTTTTTTTTTTTTTTAGAAGCATGATGGAGTCAACAAGGGAAAAAAAGAAAAAAAAACAGTCTTATTTTTATGGAGCTCCTGTACAGACTGGTGTTCTATAAAAATGCACTTTGGGAAACTCTATTCTAATTTTGCCTGCATGCTCTAGAAGTCTGCATTTTCATTTCCATCTCTAGAGAAATTTCATCTCTCCCTTTCTAGAGAAACATGATTTCATTCAGTCTTTTATCCCTTGGGTCTACCTATTTTTTAACAACCCTACCGACTTTACTGATTGTGTTCTTAAGCCTCAGCCGTTTATGATAGAGTTTTTAGACTTATTTTCTTCTGTCCAGTGATGAAAGCCAGCAACAGTGACAAAAATCTGTAAGGCGTTTCCCTCTGAAATGTCACTCACATCCAGCTTTCCTTTTCCATTTGTTCTGAGAAGTCCCGGCCCTTGACCACCTCTTTTCAGATGACAGACAGCTTCCGCTCTAGCCCATTTCCCTGACTCCAGATTTCCCTTTGTCAAATCAGCCTGACACTTTAAGGCCAGATTTGTTTGTTACTTCTTTCATTTGCAAGTCTACCCTTCCCATGTAGAGTAGCTCTGCCCAAACATTCAACTCCTTGTGCACTAGGCCCAGTCATACTTCTCAACTGAAATTTTCCACTCTTTGCCAATATAAATGGTTTATTCCAATCTGCCCTCTAAAAAGCTGACGTCTATTTCTAACGCTAAACACTTCCTTTAGTTGGTCTATCATTTAAAATGGCTTCTTTCTTCCCTATAGCTATACAAATTCTACCAACCCTTTGAAAGATACATCTCATACCTTGTCTTTAACGAGGATTCTATGGGTCTTTATCGTAGTTTAATTTTTACAGTATTGAGAATTTGAAGCTGGAATGATTTAAGATCATCTCATGGATTTAGATACATAGTGTAGCCAGCATCCAAGGCTTTTTATTTCCTCCTACATATAGTGCTTTTGAATTGAGAATATTTAGTCAGGTAGATGACTAGACCACTTGCTTCCTTAGAGTAACACTTGTATGCTGGCATTTACTTACAACTGAGATGATCTCAAATAATAATGTACAATTCATTCTAATAGGACACCATGTGAAATACTGACGGAGAACTAATCGTAATTGACTGCTGTCTCAGGCAATATGCCTATAAATTTTATAAGAGGAAGAAAGGAAAGAAACTAACAATATTAAAGAAGAAACTAACAGATTACAGCTGCAGTGTTCCAGATGCCTCCATAAAGTGGTTTGCTCTTCCTGAGTAATAATCTGACAATTAAAATAAATGCCACAAAGTTGCATACAACCTTTGACCCAGTAAGTCTTCTTCGATCACGACAGCAAGATCAAATGGGGAAAAATAAGTAATATAAATACTGCAACTCTGTGACATGATTACAAGTAACAAATATGTCACTATGTTAATATATGAAAATCCTCACATACTTTTATATGTGTGTATAAGATTTAGCAAAAAGAAAACAGAAAATGGTAGGTACATATGGATTATGCCAATTTCAGGGAAATATTTTAATTACAACTGATAATTGAAGAAGTAAAATGAAATGTTCATTACATTTACAATGGTAATATCTGTTATCCGCAGAGCTTGTTAGAATGTAATATGTTTTCATGTGTGTATGCTTTCATATATGTACTTAAAAACAAAGTTACATTATTGTAGAATGTGGCTATACTCACCTTCCCGTCCGGGAGCTCCATGTAGCCCTCTATATCAGTAATGGTTGTTTTGCCAAATCGACCTAGGAATCCCTGCAGCTTGAGACCTGTGAATGTAAAAGCCATTTCCCAGAACCTACAAACAAATGAGAAAGAGACTGAATGTACCTCAAAGATAGTTTACTGATTTTTATTTTAATATGACCCAAACATTTACATATTTTATAGTCACATATATTATTTCACTCATTCATCCGATTAAGATTTGTTAAGTATCTCCTACTTGTCAGGCAACGCGCTAGGCAATAGGAATTCAGCTATGATCAAAACAGGTGAAAAATAAAATTTCCTCCTTCGTGCATCTTATATTTTAGAGCTGTGCTACCGAATACAGTAGCCTCCAGCTATGTTTGACTATTTAAAGTAATTAACATTAAACAAAATCAAAATTTCAGTGTTTCCGTCACACTAGCCAATTTCGAGTGCTTAGTAACTCCGTGTGGATGGCAGCTACTGTATTAGACAGCACAGAACATTCCCAGTCTGTCAGAAAGTTGTACTAGACAGTATTGTTTCAGAGGATAAAAAAGGTTTTCAAAGAATTCTAATGTATTAGCTGTGTGACTCCGAGGGCTTTCCTTCATCACCCTGTACCTTCATTTTCTCAGGAATAAAATAAGAAAATTAGTAACACCTACCTCATAAAATCGTTGAAAAATTCTTAGAACAGTTCCTAGCACATCAAAGCAACCAATAAATGTTATTACTAACATTTTCTTTTTTTTTTTTTTTTTTTTTTTTTTTTTTTGAGACGGAGTTTCTCTCGTTACCCAGGCTGAAGTGCAATGGCGCGATCTCGGCTCACCGCAACCTCCGCCTCCTGGGTTCAGGCAATTCTCCTGCCTCAGCCTCCCGAGTAGCTGGGACTACAGGCACGCGCCACCATGCCCAGCTAATTTTTTGTATTTTTAGTAGAGACGGGGTTTCACCATGTTGACCAGGATGGTCTCGATCTCTTGACCTCGTGATCCACCCACCTCGGCCTCCCAAAGTGCTGGGATTACAGGCGAGAGCCACCGCGCCCGGCTACATTTTCTTATTAATAGTCTAAACAAATGGACAGACAGCATGATGAAGACCATGTAGAAAAAGAAGACCTATCCAACTAGATACAAAATAGATCATTGACGGTGCCAACAGGCCAATGATACAAGGCAAAGCCTACATAGCCAACATCATCTCCAGAGGAATGTTAGGGCCCCTGATGAGATCCCTCTGTACACTCTGGGTTCCTTTATAGCACACATGAAATTAACTGTTCAATGTCTGCCTTTCTCCCAAAGACACTGGGCATAGAAAATACAGATTTTACTAAATAATAGGAAAATAGAAAAAATTGGAAAATTTTTGCAAATAGCCAGCAGAGGATTATTTGAGAATTCCCGAATGATTACAATTAAAAATCTGCTCAATTAGTCTATATTTCTAACGAATGAGTAATAAAAAGACCAGATCTAAATTGAGACAAGAGGAATTCAGGATGGATAAAAATGTCTTTCTCTTAAAGAGACACTGATAGTCGAGTTATGGGCAGATCTGGGGCGGGTAGGAAGGTTGTTACATAAAAGCATGAGACAAAGCAGAACAAAGATAGAGAAAGACAAGAGCATTCCATCCTGGAAACAGACGAGGGTATGATACAATGAAAAGAGCATGGAGTTTGGAGGAAGACCTGAGATCAAAAGTAGGCTCTGCCACTGTTTGGTATTGAGTTTTCCTTGTCAGGGATGGTACTGTGATAATTCTTGTTTATAGCTGAAGACTAAATTGCTACAAACAAGAAATTTAGTAGTGGATGTGAAAACTTAATATGAATTTGGAAATATCATCCCAATGTTAGTTATTAAGACACTATACAAACTCTTTTAGGAGGTGGAGCCTACAAGAAGGCAGCAGGCTGTATTTAAAAGCCCTTATTCGCCAGGCACGGTGACTCACGCCTGTAATCTCCACATTTTGGGAGGCCAAGGCGGGCAGATCACCTGAGGTCAGGAGTTCAAGACCAGCCTGACCAACACGCAGAAACCCCGTCTCTACTAAAAACACAAAATTAGCTGGGCATGGTGGCAGGCACCTGTAGTCCCAGCTACTCAGGAGGCTGAGGCAGGAGAATCACTTGAACCTGGGAGGCGGAGGTGTGGTGAGCCAAGATCACACCATTGCACTCCAGCCTGGGTAACAAGAGCGAAACTCCATCTCAATTTTAAAAAGTCCTTATTTTATCTATGCTCCTTGCAGAAATAAAATGCCACATTTCTAATTAGACAAGATGCATTATGAATTAGCTTTTAAAATAACATATTTTTAAATAATTCTAATGTTAACTAAAACTGAAAAAAAAAAAAAAAAGTCTCTAGCTCTTAGAGCTTCTTAGAAAAATACCCCTGTGATATCCACTAGCACCTCTCCTGGATACCCAACCTACTTGATGTGGCCTGATCCCGAAGTAGTAAGCTGCTCTTCATTATCAGGATTGAAAGTAACCTTAAAAACTTCCTGGGAAAAAGCCTTCGTCCTCAGTACGGGCTGCTCTTCTTTCCAATTCCAGATAGTCAGTGTATAGTCCGGGTTGCTACCGACAGAGGCCAGCAAGGCACCGCTGTAGCTAAAGTCCACATACGCGTAACCCTTCTCAGTCCCATCTGGAAGGATAAATGGGGGTCTAATAAATAAAGACACCTTTATTCACGTCGAAAGCATATTGTAACAAAAATAGAGAGGGAGTCAGCTCATGGTGATATAAGAATGCCAAGAATACCCTAAAGGAACAATTCCAAAAACATTCACCATCTTTGGCTTTAGAATGAATTATGTGATATGAAGGGGGAGAGTGAAGGAGCTTTAAGCACATAGTGCATGAGTATTCCATTTTATGACATGGGGAGAAACACAAATGCATATTAGATAGCAGCGTCAGAAGCAGGACCAGGGTGACTGCATCTGGGATAGAAAGCTGGGTAAAATGAAGCTGAGACCTACTGGGCTGCATTCCCAGGAGGTTGGGCATTCTAACTCAAAAATGAGATAGGTAGCACAAGATACAGGTCAAAAGACCCCATGGATAAAATAGGATGTGGTAAAGACGTTAGCCAAAACCCACCAGAATCAAGAAGGTGATGAAAGCAACCTCTGGTGGTCCTCACTACTCATTATATGCTAATTATAACGCATTACTATGCTATAGGACAGTCCCACCAGTGCCATGACAGTTGATAAATATCATGGCAATGTCAGGAAGTTACCTTACGTGGCCTAAAAGGGGAAGGACCTTCAGTTCCAGGAGTTGCCCACCCATTTCCTGTCTGGAAACCTCATGAATAATCCACCCCCTGTTTAGCATGTAATCGAGAATAACTATAAGTATTCTTAGTTGAGAAACCCAGGCCACTGCTCAGCCTGTGGAGTAACTATTCTTTCATTCCTTTGCTTTCTTAAACTTGCTTTCATTTTGCTCTAGGGATTCACCTCAAATTCTTTCTTGCATGAGGTCTAACAACCTTCTCTTGGGGTCTGGATCAGACCCCTTTCCTATAACAATTCCATTAAATCTTTTTTCAATTTATTCTTTAAACAATGCGGGGAATACATGTGTAGAACATGCAGGTTTGTTACACAGGCATATGTGTGCCATGGTGGTTTGCTGCACCTATTCACCCATCTTCTAAGTTCCCTTCCCTCACCCTTCACCCACCAACAGGCCCTGGTATGTCATGCTCCCCTCCCTGTGTCCATGTCCTCTCAATGTTCAACTCCCACTTATGAGTGAGAACATGCGGTGTTTGGTTTTCTATTTCTGTGTTAGTTTGCTGAGGATGATGGCTTCCAGCTTCATCCATGTCCCTGCAAAGGACATAATCTCTTTACTTTTATGGCTGCATAGTATTCCATGGTGTATATGTACCACGTTTTGTTTATCTACTCTATCACTGATGGGCATTTGGGTTGGTTCCATGTCTTTGCTATTGTAAACACTGCTGCAATGAACATACGTGTACAAGTGTCTTTATAGCAGAATGATTTACATTCCTTTGGGTATATACCCAGTAATGGGATTGCTGGGTCAAATGGTATCTCTGGTTCTGGAGCCCTTGAGGAATCGTCACACTGTCTTCAACAATGGTTGCATTAATTCACATTCCCACCAACCATGTAAAAGTGTTCCTATTTCTCCAGAGCTTCACCAGCACCTATTGTTTCCTGACTTTTTAATAATTGCCATTCTAACTGGCACGAGATGGTATCTCACTGTAGTTTTGATTTGCATTTTTCCAATAATCAGGGATGTTGAGCTTTTTTTCGTATGCTTCTTGGCTGCAAAAATGTCTTCTTTTGAGAAGTATTTGTTCATATCCTTTGCCCACTTTTTGATGGAGTTTTTTTCTTGTAAATATGTTTAAGTTCCCTGTAAATTCTGGATATTAGACCTTTGTCAGATGGGTAGATTGCAAAAATTTTCTCCCACTTTGTAGGTTTCCTGTTCACTCTGATGATAGTTTATTTTGCTGTGCAGAAGCTCTTTAGTTTAATTAGATCCCATTTGTCAATTTTGGCTTTTGTTGCCATTCCTTTTGGCTTTTATGTCACGAAGTCTTTGCCCCTGCCTATGTCCCGAATGGTATTGCCTAGGTTTTCTTCTAGGATTTTTATGGTTTTGGGTTTTACACTTAAGCCTTTAATCCATCTTGAGTTAATTTTTGTATAAGTTGTAAGGAAAGGGTCCAGTTTCAGTTTTCTGCATGTAACTAGCCAGTTTTCCCAGCACCATTTACTGAATAGAAAATCCTTTCCCCATTGCATTTGTGAGGTTTGTTGAGCGTCAGATGATTGCAGATATGTGGTGCTCTTTCTGAGGTCTCTGTTCTGCTCCATTGGTCTATATGTCTGTTTTGGTACCAGTACAATGCTGTTTTAGTCACTGTAGCTTTGCAGTGTAGTTTGAAGTCAGGTAGCATGATGCCTCCAGCTTTCTCCTTTTTACTTAGGACTGTCTTGACTATACGGGTCTTCTTTGATTCCACATGAGACTTGAGATAGCTTTTTCTAGTTCTGTGAAGAATGCCAATGGTAGTTTGATAGGAATAGCAATGAATCTATAAATGACTTTGGCGGTATGGCCATTTTCAGGATATTTATTTTTCCTATCCATGAGCATGGAATGTTTTTCCATTTGTTTGTGTTGTCTCTTACTTCCTTGAGCAGTGGTTTGTGGTTCTCCTTTAAGAGGTCGTTCACATCCCTTGTTACCTGTATTACTAGGTATTTTGTTCTCCTTGTAGTGATTGTGAATGGAAGTTCATTCATGATTTGGCTCTCTGCTTGCCCATTATTGGTGTATACAAATGCTTGTGATTTTTGCACATTGATTTTGTATCCCGAGACTTTGCTGAAGTTGCTTATCAGTTCAAGAAGTTTTTTGGGCTGAGATGATGGGGTTTTCTAAATATAAAATCATGTCATCTGCAAAGAGAGACAACTTGACTTCCTCTTTTCCTATTTGAATACCCTTTATTTATTTCTCTTGCCTAATTGCCCTGGACAGAACTTCCAATAGTATGTTGAATAAGAGTGGTGAGAGAAGCATCCTTGTCTTATACTGGTTTTCAAACAGAATGCTTCTAGCTTTTGCCCATTCAATATGATATTGGCTGTGGGTTTGTCATAAATAGCATTTATTATTTTAAGATATGTTCCATTAATAGATGGTTTATTAAGAGTTTTTTAACATGAAGTGATGTTGAATTTTATCAAAGGCCTTTTCTGCATCTATTAGGATAATCGCAGGGTTTTTGCCATTGATTCTGTTTATGTGATGGATTATGTTTATTGATTTGCATATGTTGAACCAGCCTTGCATCCCAGAGATGAAGGCGACTTGATCGTGGTGAATAATTTTTTGATGTGCTGCTGGATTCAGTTTGCCAGTATTTTATCGAGGATTTTTGCAATGATGTTCAACAGGGATATTGGCCTGAGGTTTACTCTTTTTGTTGTGTCTCTTCCCCGTTTTGGTGTCAGAATGATGCTGGCTTCATAAATGAGTTAGCAAGGACTCCCTCCTTTTCGCACGTCTGAAATCATTTCAGAAGAAACGGCACTAGCTCCTTTTTGTGCCTCTGTTAGAATTCAGCTTTGAATCCCTCTGGTCCTAGGCTGTTTTTGGTTGGTAGGCTATTAATTACTGCCTCAATTTCAGAGCTTCTTATTGGTCTATTCAGGGATTCCGTTTCTTTCTGGTTTACTCTTGGTAGGGTGTATGTATTCAGGAATTTATCCATTTCTTCTAGATTTTCTAGCTTGTTTGCATAGTATTCTCTGATGGTAGTTTGCATTTCTGTGGAGTCAGTGGTGATATCCTCTTTGTCATTTTTTTATTGTATCTATTTGATTCTTTTCTCTTTTCATTAGTCTAGCTAGTGGTCTATCTGTGTTGTTAATTTTTTTAAAAAAACCAGTTCCTGGATTCATTGATTTCTTTGGGAGGGTTTTTCTGTCTGTATCTCCTTTAGTCCTTCTCTGATCTTAGTTATTTCTTGTCTTCTGCTAGCTTTTGGATTAGTTTGCTCTTGTTTCTCTAGTTCTTTTCATCGTGATGTTGGGTTGTCGATTTGAGATCTTTCCTGCTTTCTCTCGTGGGCATTTGGCACTATAAATTTCCCTTGTAACACTTTTAGCTGTGTCCCAGAGATTCTGGTACATTGTCTCTTTGTTCTCATTGGTTTCCAAGAACTTCTTGATTTCTGCCTTAATTTCATTATTCACACAGGAGTCATTCAGGAGCAGGCTTTTCAATTTCCATGAAATTGTGTGGTTTTGAGGGAGTTTCTTAATCCTGAGTTCTAATTTGATTGCACTGTGGGCTGAGAGACTGTTTGTTATGATTTCAGTTCAGTTCGTTATGATGTGCATTTGCTGAGGAGTGTTTTATTTCCAATTATGTGGTCGATTTTAGAATAAGTGTCATGTAGCACTGAGGAGAATGTATATTCTGTTGTACAGAGTTATGTAGACATCTGCTAGGTCCACTTGATCTAGAGCTGAGTTAAAATCCTGCATATCCTTGTTAATTTTTTGTTGTTGATCTGTCTAATACTGACAGTGAGGTGTTAAAGTCTCCCACTATTATTGTGTAAGAGTCTACATCTCTTTGTAGGTCTCCAAGAATTTGTTTTATGAATCTGGGTGCTCCTGTATTGAGTGCACATATATTCAGAATAGTTAGCCCTTCTTGAATTGTTCCCATTACCTTTATGTAATGCCCTTCTTTGTCTCTTTTGATCTGTGTTAAAGTCTGTTTTGTCAGAAACTAGGATTGCAACTCCTGCTTTTTTTTCTTTTTTCTTTCCATTTGCTTGGTAAATTTTCCTCCATCCCTTTAATTTGAGCCTGTTTGTGTCTTTACAGGTAAGATGGATCTCCTGAATAACAGCACACATATGGGCCTTGACTCCTCATCCAATTTGTCAGTCTGTGTCTTTTGTTTTTGTTTTTGTTTAAGATGGAGTTTTGCTCTTGTTGCCCAGGCTGGAGTACAATGGCATGATCTCAGCTCACCCCAACCTCCAACTCCTGGGTTCAGGTGATTCACCTGCCTCAGCCTCCCAAGTAGCTGGGATTACAGGCATGTGCCACCATGCCTGGCTAATTTTGTATTTTTAGTAGAGATGGGGTTTCTCTTTGTTGGTCAGGCTAGTCTTGAACTCCTGACTTCAGGTGACCCGCCCACCTCGGCCTCCCAAAATACAGGTGTGAGCCACCACATTGGCCCAGTCTATGTCTTTTAATTGGGGCATTTAGCCCATTTACATTTAAAGTTAGTATTATTATATATGAATTTGAATAAATCTCTTTTCTATCTTCCACTAGTTCTGTTTCTCTGGAGAACCCTGACATCAAATACTGTCACACCTTCTTCAGAATGTTGTTGTCCTTAAACATGAAATATTTTAAATATGCTTCTGGACTCACCTCGAAGGATTCTGTAGGGTCTCAGAGAAGGAAATTCATAGATGATAATATTTGGAAAACTCCCTTTTTCAGCTACTGTGAAGTAGGTTTTATGTGGATGAACCTACAAAAGATAAAATGTCACCAAAATATTAACAGAAATATTTTCATATAAATAGTCTGATTAATGCAGTATTTAGCATAATTTCATAATATGTGTAGTAGGCTTTACTTCAATAGAAAACTCAAAAATGGGTATCCGATAAATACTTTCATGATGGATATAGTTTAAACTGAAAACTAGAAAAATACACATTTTAAGTTTTACTTTAAGACGGTCATTTCAAGATACACAAAGATACATCAACGAATGGATAAAATAGCCAGTTAACATCAAGCTCTACAGTTTTTTTACTTGCCATTGGAAGAGCTAGAACAATGGTTCTCAATCTTTGATGTCTGTCAGAATCCTCTGAAGGGCTTATTAAAATACAGATTGCAAGCCCTTCTCCCCCGAGTTTCTGACTCAATAGGTCAGGCTGGGACTCGAGAATTTGCATTTACATGTCTGACAAAATGATTTCTAACAAGGTAATTGACATTCTGACAAGGTGATTGACATTCTGACAAGGCGGCTGACATTCTGACAAGGTGACTGACATTCTGACAAGGCGACTGACATTCTGACAAGGTGACTGACATTCTGACAAGGTAACTGACATTCTGACAAGGTGATTGACATTCTGACAAGGTGACTGACATTCTGACAAGGTGACTGACATTCTGACAAGGTGACTGACATTCTGACAAGGTGATTGACATTCTGACAAGGTGACTGACATTCTGACAAGGTGATTGATGTTGATGTGGCTAGTTTGGAGACCTTGCTTTGAGAACCACTACGTGGGATCAATTGTCTACCCTCCATATAAATCAACCCAAATTTTGTATAGACAAATTCATGGAATGTATGAAATTCTTGTTTCCAGATCAGGTTACATCACAATTTTTAAAATTTCACTGTGGAAAAACTTACCACAAATGAATGTAAACTTACTAGAAGTGAGAAAGATACAATATTTGCAAGCCAGACACAGAGGAAAATACAGTAAGTATGCCCTGGATAAACTATTGGGTCAGTAGTTTTAAAGATAGCTATATAAGTTGGACAGAATACTATGTTCATTTCTGTTATTTTTATCTATTGGTAAGCCAAATATGTAGGAAGAGTAAATGGCCAGCCAAAATTGGAAAAATAAAAGCTGTTATAAGAATAAGCTATTTAAAGCACACATTATACTTATAAAATTCTGTTTTCAGATATTATTTCACATCTCCTAATTATACATAAGACAAAGAGCCTGGTTCTCAGATATAGATTGCTAATCCTGGTACCCAAGATAACATTATTGCCTTTATATTTTACACCAACCTGGTGATCTTGGATACCACTCTTATCTCCATCTTATTGATGAGCAAATGGAGGCACAGAGTTTAAATAAATTGCCTGCAGTCACACAGTCTACAGTGTGTTCATGTAAGAGATAGGATTCAAGCCAAGTGTTGGAGTCAAGAAACAAATGGGACAAGAAACAGCAGATCTCAAGGAGGTAGGGGAAATGAATTAAGACCATATCTATCTGATTTCCATTTATAAAGAAATATGGTGTGGAACATGTGGTCAAAGAAATTTGGATGAAGATACAGAGAAATCCTTTGCCCTTCTAGGTCTTATCTACAGTAAGTTTAAAAATTTCTGCCCAATGCAAGGTTCTTTGAACTGTCTGTACCATGGTCTATACAATGGTGACCACTGTGACCCACCCATACACCTCCAGATGGCCTCCTGGAGCCAGAAAGCCTAAGGTAACTTAAAAATCACAAAAGGAGAAGAATAGCTAGCTCCTGCAGTGCTTGATTAACCCACCTTGTGACATTCCACCATTGCTCCTGCCTCAACCATTCCTGCTTCAACTGATAAGTCAACCTTGTGACCCTGGACTTCTGACACTGCCCCCACCAACGGCACCCGCCTGGCTTGCAAAAAGTGCCCTGAACTATAACTTCTGTAACTTTCCACTGCCTACCCCAAATCTATAAAACCAACTCCTATCCCACTGCCCTTCACTGACTCTCTTTTCTGACTCAGCCCACTCACACCCAAGTGAATAAAACAGCCTTGTTGCTCACACAAAGCCTGTTTAGGTGGTCTCTTCATTCACAGTGTGCCCAACACATCTCATATTGGAAACTGCTGTACAGTTGAGTTTGGGACATGGATTTATTGATTGAGTGAGACAGAGTCTCACTTTGTCACCCAGGCTGGAGTGCAGTGGCATGATCTCTGCTCACTGCAACCTCCGCCTACCAGGCTCAAGCAATTCTTGTGCTTCAGCGTCCTGAGTAGCTGGGATTACAGCTGTGTGTAACCACATCTGGTTAATTTTTGCATTTTTAGTAGAGATGGGGTTTCACCATGTTGGCCAGGCTGGCCCTTAACTCACCCCCTCAGCCTCCCAAAGTGCTATGATTACAGGCACGGGCCACCACGCCCAGCCAGGAGTTTTATTTTTAGTGAAGACCTGTAATTAATCATTTATTTTACATTCAATGTAGAGATTCTCCCTAACTTTTCCAGGTAGGGAGCCCAAACACTTTTCTCATAGCTTTGCTACAGTAGTTCTCATCCTTACCTGGATACCTGTTTCAGAAAAGATGAAGTAACATGGACAGTGGAGGCAAGGCCTCTGTCACGACCCAGGCTTCAACAGCTCCAGCACACACAGACAAAAGCCCTTGTGGACATAAAATTGCTCAACATCCGGGTGGATGAGGATTAGGATTAGCTTATCATTATTATTTTTTAGGATGGAGTTTCGCTCTTATTGCCCAGGCTGGAGTGCAGTGGTGCGATCTCAGCTTACTGCAAACTCTGCCTCCCATGTTGAAGCAGTTCTCCTACCTCAGTCTCCCAAGGTATCTGGGATCACAGGTGTGTGCCACTATGCTAAGCTAATTTTGTATTTTTAGTAGAGACGGGTTTTCTCCATGTTGGTCAGGCTGGTCTCGAACTTCCAGCCTAGGTGATCCACCCACCTGGCCTCCCAAAGTGCTGGGATTATACGCAGAGCCACTGTGCATGGCCAGAATTGGCATTCTTGACCACACTACACCTCTGACTACTGTCCTCAGACCAAATTATTTTATAACAAAATAGAAAAATAGAAATTTAAAAACTATTATTTACCACAAAGTAATAGATAAATATTTGACAATTAGGTATTTCCTCGTCCCCTGCAGATGGTGTGGACCTCAGAGCTCCTGAAACCTCATAGGCCCCGACTGATTTCCCTCCACCAAATCCACGACCCTCAAATTGGGCCCATGGCTATCTGTACATAGGTATTACCACATTATCATGTAATGTACTTGTGTGTCTAGTTTTCTGTTTTCTCTTTTTTTCTTTTTTACAAATATAGGTCTTGTCTCTTTAGGTGGATTTTAAACTCTGAATTCATAGGTTTTGAGTTCTCCTTCATTTAAATTCCCCACTATACATTCTGTATAGCGTTGGATGCACAGTATTACATCACAAATTATTGCTGAAGTTATTAGTCTTGTAAGAAACTCCCTTAGGACATGGACTTTTATCATGTATGCATGCTATATATAGACAGATGATCAAGAAAGAAACAAACATGATAGTATATTTCACCCCATACATCTCAACATATCACGTTTCCATTGTAATCTATGTTACATCCTGTGTCTCACATTTTCCTCACTTTCTCCATTCCCATGGCCAAGTGCCTGCTCCAGTTTTCAGATTAAGAATTGTTAAAATGGGGCCAGGCGCGGTGGCTTACGCCTGTAATCCCAGCACTTTGGGAGGCCAAGGCGGGTGGATCACAAGGTCAAGAGATTGAGACCATCCTGGTCAACATGGTGAAACCCTGTCTCTACTAAAAATACAAAAAATTAGCCGGGCATGGTGGCGTGTGCCTGTAATCCCAGCTACTCAGGAGGCTGAGGCAGGAGAATTGCCTGAACCCAGGAGGCGGAGGTTGCGGTGAGCCGAGATCGCGCCATTGCACTCCCGCCTGGGTAACCAGAGCGAAACTCCATCTCAAAAAAAAAAGAATCGTTAAAATGTCTTCACTCACTTCCACTTCTAATCTAAATGTGAAAAACTTGCACGACTATGGGGAAGTCACCTAACCTCTATAAGCCTGTTTCCTTATCTGCAAAAGTAAATGATATTATAATAGTGCATAGAGGTAATGACAGTGAACGTAGTGGCTGTAATAACTGAATTGAAAATGCCTGAGAATAAAGACCGTTGTGCATCTCATGTGAATCCACAACACTGGGCATAGTGTTGGCATCTAACAACCATGTTGGCTGGTCCACAGAACAAGCAAAAAACATACATTAATTTTTTTCTGATTGATCGAAGGCATACCCCAATGACGCCAATGCCTTCACCGCTGCTGCTTCGCAGGTAGGTCTGTTCCCTGGTTTTCAAATTCAGAAAGACCACTTGGTTCCCAGCTATGTACATGGCAACACTGTCGTCCAGAAGTTGTAGGTTGGCTCGCTTTCTGCAGTCGTACCCAAAGGAATGTCTGAGGGGAGCCGTAAGGAAAAGAAGTGAAAGACAATACCGTCCCGGGGATTGGAAATGTGGAGAATAAATATCTCTTAGATGAAGACATGAGGTTGAAGTAGAATTTTACCCTGAAACTCATGATTTTTCTATGTATCGCTAACAATTTTGTTTTTAAATTAGGTGAGGGAAAAAAAGGCCTAAGCAGGAAATAAATAAATAAATAAATAAACAAATCAGGTGACTATCCCCATACTCTGATTTAGTTAATATTTTAATTTTCCTGGGGCATCCTGAGAGCCCATTAATTGTTTTTGCAAAAATAAATAAGGTTAAACCTATCTGGGTACCACAGACAGCAAAGTTGTCACCTGGATAATTTTATTTTCCTATCTTCCACTAAAACTAAATCATACTGTATAACATGGGAGAAAGTCTGTATCTTTATCATCTTTGTATTCATGATGCCTGCTAGATTTGCTGACTGACCATAATAAAAATATTATGTAGGCGAATTCTAACATGTTTGTAAAATTCTGACACACCATTTGATAATTGTTTATAATAAATTCAAATAAATATAACTAAAATTTAATTCATATCAACAAATAATGAAAATTGATTAATATAGAGCATATAAATATACATGTAATTAATAGACTAACTTTTTTTCTGAGCTTATTAGTATATGTATGGGTGTGTAGGTAAGTAGCATGTGTATGTGCTTGTGTGTGTGTATGCTATAGAATAAAATTGCACTGATTCAAAATAGAGTGGGGGCCACTAAAGATTTTCTGCACAGCAAAATAAACCATCAACAGATTAAACAGCCAACCTACAGAACAGTAGAAAAAATTCCCAAACTATGCATCTGACAAAGGGCTAATATCCAAAATCTGTAAGAGACTTAAAGAAATCAACAAGAAAAAAATAACCCCACTAAAAAGCAGGCAGAGGACTTCAACAGACACTTTTCAAAAGAAGACATACAGGCAGCCAAAAAACATGAAAAATGCTCAACATCACTAATCATCAGTGAGATGCAAATTGAAACCACAATGAGATACTACCTCAGACCAGTCAGAAAGGCTATCATTAAAAAGTCAAAAAATAAGAGATGTTGGTGGGGCTGCAGACAAAAGCGAATGCTTATATGCTATTAGTGAGAATGTAAATCCGTTCAGCCACTGTGGAAAGCAGTTTGCAGGTTTCTCAAAGAATTAAAAATTCAACTACCATTCAATCTAGCAATCCCATTGCTGGGGATATACCTGAAGGAAACTCATTGTACCAAAAAGACACATGCACTCACATGTTAATCATAGCACTATTTATAACAGCGAAGACATAGAATCAACCTAGTTCCCATCAGTGGTGCACTGGATAAAGAAAATGCGGCACATACACACCATGAAATACTATACAGCCATGAAAACAATGAAATCACGTCCTTTGCATCAGCATGGATGCAGCTGGACGCCATTATCCTAAGCAAATTAATGTAGAAACAGAAAACCAAATATTGCATGTTCTCGCTTATAAGCGGGAGCTAAATATTGGGTACACACAGACATAAAGACAGGAACAACAGATTCTAGGGATTCCAAAGGCGGGGAGAGAGGGGACAAAGGCTGAAAACCTTCCTATTGGGTACTATGTTCACTCATGGGTGATGAGACCAACCGAAGCCCTCACGTCACTATCACACAGTATATTCTTATAATAAACCTGCATGCATACCCTCTGAATCTAAAATAAAAATAACTTTTTTAAAAAGAGGTATTAAAAAATCTAAGTTATATAAAACACATTTTAAATGCATATTGTTAGTATGTTTAAGTCAGAATTAATATGCCCAAAATATAAATATAAGCAAGTTAAGTGAAACCAATCTATGAATAAAGTTAGAGTTGACAAGGGCAGCATATCCTGTGGTGTACTAAGCAGACAGATTCTTTGTTCACAAGAATTCGTTGCTGAATATCTAAGCTGAAGGATCACTGGAGGAATCTGTATTTCTTGTGCCCTTGTTTAAAGACAAATTGTGATTTTAGAGGATTCCACTTCTTCATAAGTACAAATTTTCATAGAAAGAAATATTAAAGTTTAACAAGAAAATGTAGAATGTAAAAAGAACAGAGATTTAAATTAATGCAATTTAAATTGCGCAATATAAAGAAATTACAACCAAGTATAAGCAGCCTCTCTCGTTACCAAATAGTTAAATTGAAAGAGATAGCCAGGCACAGTGGCTGACACCTGTAATCCCAGCACTTTGGGAGGCCGAGGTGGGCGGATCACGAGGTTGGAGTTCGAGACCAGCCTGGCCAACATGGTGAAAGCTCATTTCTACTAAAGATACAAAAAATTAGCCAGGCGTGGTAGCACACCTCTAATCCCAGCTACTAGGGAGGCTGAGGCAGGAGAATCACTTGAACCCGGGAGGCGGAGGTTGCATTGAGTGGAGTTGCGCCATTGCACTCCAGCCTGGGTGACAGGGTGAGACTTCATCTCAAAAAAAAGAAAAAAGAGAGAAAGAGAGAAAGGCTTTCAGGGTACTGGATCTGTTCAAGGAAAAAAAATTTTACGTCTTTTTTCTTCTCTTCAAACCACTACCCTCACCTTCCCTTCTTCCCTTCCTTTTTTTCCCTCTTCCCAGGTGGCAATATAATACCTCAGAAGGCTAAAAGCGTGTTAGTAGCCATGAGAACAGAAATGGGTTACCACTTCTTCACTACCTTAGATGCAAAAAGGAACTGGAGAAATCATCATTTATCTAATATTATCATCTTTAATTCCAGCAGGGAAACTCCCTTTTACATGCTGCTGTCCAGAAGGGATCAGATGGTTCACTTCTCAAATTCTCACCCTCTAAATTACAGCTTACTGAGGGCAGAGGCTGCTTCTCTCCATCTCCATTTCCCAGAACGCCTAGCACATTGTCTTCAGCCTATTAGTTATTCAGGAAATGTTTGTTGAATGAATCAATTCATTAATTTGTGCATAACTAGAATCTGATCCTTTCCTTTTTTTTTTTTTTTTTTTGAGATAGGGTCTCACTTTGTCAGCCAGGCTGGAGTGCAGTGACATGAACACAGCTTCCTGCAGCCTCAACTTCCCAGGCTCAAGAGCTCCTCCCACCTCAGCCCCCTAAGTTCCTGGGACTGTGTGCACCACCACACCTGGCTAATTTTTGTGGGGTTTTTTTTGCCATGTTGCCCAGACCGGTCTCGAATTCCCGCGCTCAAGTGATCTGCCTGCCAAGTCTCCCAGGGTGCTAGGATTACAGCTGTGAGCCACTGCACCTGGCCTGATCCTTTCCTTTTAATCCCAGACACAGCAGCAGACCCTTAGTGGAGTTCCGAAAATCTGAAAATGTGTTTTGCTGTCCCTTCAGCGCTCTTTGTCTTATCTCACCCTCTCTTCTAGCTTGCCTCTTCTCAAATTCCTGCTAAAGGCCCAGGGCTTTCAATGTTTGTGCATAGTCATCCAGGAACTTCAGTTTAAAATTGTTTAAACATTGTCAAATTCTGTGTCATGTCTTTTAAAATTATACCCTGGTTTATGTGATACTTTATAAATGGCACAGTTCTTGCTATTGAAAGAAAACTTAAAACTAAGTTTTCTTAAAAGCCAAATTAAATTTAACAGAGTTTAACTGAGCAAACAACAATTCAAGAATTGGGCCGTCTTCTCAGCCAGAGATTCCAGCCCAGCCACGTGCAGGAAGATTTATGGACTGAAAAAGGAAAGTGACTTACAGAAAACAAAAATGAAGTACAGAAATAGCCACACTGGTTACAGCGTGGCGCCTGCCCTATTTTAACACAGTTTCAATAGTTGTCCACCTCTGATTGACCAAAACTTAAGTAATTGGCTCAGGGCAGACTGAGTCTAACTCCCTGTAGGTTATAGTTCACCATGTACAGTGAAACCTTTAGGCCAAAGTTAGAGTATGTAAGGAGGCAGCTTTCGGCTAAACTTCATTTAACATTGCTAAAATTTCAAAGACGTAAATTTACAAACTGAATTAAAATCAATATAATACATAAATAATCATTAAAGGGTTAATTAAAAGAATACTCAGGGAATGCATGATGGCTGACTTGTTCTTCCTAGAAATCCTCACAAGATACAGAGATTTTATTTGTTCCATCTCCAGAGAACAGAACTGAATCTATTGGGGGGCATCCCAGCGAGGCAGGATTTTACTCAAGGCCCAAAAGCCTCTCTAGTGAGATATCCAAAAGTGAGGTAAGCTACTCCGTGACTTTTTGGTGTTAAAAATGTTTAAGAAAAGGCTGCAGTTTATACAGCCACCCGTCTAGCATGAACAGAGAGAATTCATGTATTGGAATAAAAGCTGAGGTTCTTCTGACTGTGCTGTTTAGAATCTAGGCACGTTTCTCTAATACAGACCCTCCCGTCCTGGAACAGGCCAAAGAGGGTGTCTTCAGAGTACACGTACCCAAGTCCCTCTCCACACAGAACTAGCATAGTAGGTCCAGGAAGGCATCAGAGCATTCTGGGATTTAGGAAAAGCTTCCACGGGGTTCTAATATACTACCCCACCCCATTTGGGAAAAAAAGGCTAAAAGGAAGCAAACGGCAGAAGTTTTGTTAGAAACTTGTCCAAAGACAAGGAAAAAAAAAGCCATGAAGAGAGAAAATTCTAGGTTATAAGGTAATTCAGCACGAATTCGTTTAGTTACAGCTGGGATTTAACAACGTGTTCTATTTTTACGTTTTCATGTAAAAAGCAAAACTGAGTCGGTGAGTATTGTAAGTATTCCTTGTGTAAGAGGCCAGTCAGTGGTTTCGGCCATGTGGTGACAAGCACGAACTATCCAAAAGGCGAGCCCAGTAACTTGCCAGCTACGGACCTCAGTGGAAACTGTCTTTTTTTTTTTTTTTTTTGAGACGGAGTTTCGCTCTTGTTACCCAGGCTGGAGTGCAATGGCGCGATCTCGGCTCACCGCAACCTCCGCCTCCTGGGTTCAGGCAATTCTCCTGCCTCAGCCTCCCGAGTAGCTGGGATTACAGGCACGCGCCACCGTGCCAAGATAATTTTTTGTATTTTTCATAGAGATGGGGTTTCACCATGTTGACCAGGATGGTCTCGATCTCTTGACCTCGTGATCCGCCCGCCTCTGCCTCCCGAAGTGCTGGGATTACAGGCGTGAACCACCGCGCCCGGCCGAAACCGTCTTCTAAACTACCTGCATCGCAAGCCTAACATCGCCATGTGACGGCAAACACTAAATCCCCTTGTCAATTATCCCGGTTCCACAACCTCCAAAGAGTGTCATTCTCCAGACCAATAAAAACTTGCTATTGTGTCCCCTATTTCCTAAGAATTGCCTTCTCTTGACAGTTCATCTGATATATAATGTGAAAATACTAATGCCTTACAATGGACAGACGCGTAAGTGTTTCAAGAAGGGAAATGGATGACTTAACAGGCGATGGCAAAAGTAAATGGGAGTAAGACCCTTCTGGTTTCCTTCACTCAGGTCTCGTGAACTGTAGTTCTTCCTCTTGTGCAAAGGACAGCCAGGAAAACGCCATTTCTCAGTATGGTTACTTGGCATCCAACAAAAGCTTACTTTAAGATCATGTATTTCTATCAAATCTCTAAGAATTCAAGCTTCTTAGAGTTACCTAAGATGGGTTGGCACACTTTTAAAGGGCAGGTAGTAAACAGTTTTGGCCTTGTGAGCCAGCTGGTCTCCGTCCCAGCTCCTTACCTCTGCCCTTGTTATGTGATGGCGGCCCTAATAAACAAAATGTAAGCAAATGGAAGTAGCTGTGTTGCAATAAAATCTGGTCTCCAAAAACAGGTGGGAAGGCAGATTTGGGCTCCCTGGACTGTAGTTTGCTGACCTCTGACCTAAGAAATGAAAATCCCAAAATTATACATAATTAGACAGGGTGGATACACGAGTGTGAGAAGATCCAGTGGTATGTTTGAATCCAGAGTCACAAAAGGCATCGAAGCAAGCTCCGTATAATCATAGAAGAAACTCTCTGATATTTTCTTTTTAACTTCCTCGTCGGCCTCTTCCGCAGCTGGAGCAGGGGGTTGCTGAGATACTTTAAAAAAGAAAAAGTTTAAGAAGAGTGATATGGTTTTGCTGTGTCCCCACCCAAATCTTATCTTGAATTGTAGTCCCCATAATCTCCACAAGTCATGGGAGGGACCTGGTAGGAGGTAATTGAATCTTAGGGGCTGTTAACCTCCATGCTATTCTCATGATGGTGAATGAGTTTTCACATGATCTGATGGTTTTATAAGGGGCATTTCCCTCCTTCACGCTGCACTTCTCCTTCCTGCCATCATATGAAGAAGAAGGTGTTTGCTTCCCCTTCTGCCATGATTGTAAGTTTCCTGAGGCCTCCCCAGCCATGCAGAACTGTGAGTCAAGTAAACTTCTTTCCTTTAAAAATTACCAGCCTCAGGTATATCTTTCTTAGCAGCGTGAGAACAGACTAATACAGAGTGTCTAGTGAATACAAAATTGTATTTCCCAGGGACAGGAGGAATGTATGCAGCCTGCAACACTCTTGCCATAAGAACTGCCGCTGGCCTGAACATAGGACACAGTCATCAATGAGCATGGAAGGAAAAGCCATCATGCCCACATGCATCATTGTAAATGCTGAGCTCTGCTCATGGCACAAAGTCTCCAAGGGCAACTCCCAATCACTTCCAAGGGAGAGGTGAACTCCCACTAATGTGTAGTAGAGCCGTTTTTATACCTTCTCAAAACCGAGAAGAATGAGTATGAGAGTTCTGTATGTGGTCCTCAGAAGTAGACAGCACACGTCTAGGGCTGCTAGCATACCCTCCCAAAATATGCAGAATACTTGTCCTTTGATCATTCCCACACATATACACATCCTGCAGATTTTTCTTCCTATAGATTTATAACTGTCCAATTTGCCTGGCTATTTGTCTTTAAAACAGTGACAGTCACTGGTAGAAAACTAATACTACCTACCTGCGGCGCTTTGCAAATCTTCATGCTGAAATGAACTCAAACTTCCTGCCAAATGTTCCTCATCTGAGTCTTCTTCTAAATTTGATGCTTCCCCTTCAGTCAACGTTTCATCTGTGGCATCTTCTAAAAATTTGTTATCTTCTTTCACAGGAGCTATTAAAATTTGTTTTAATCATTTCTAAATTTTGATTAAACATTTCCTTATTTCTAAAATAGCTAAAACTTCCAATTTGCTTGTGCTCTAGATGTAATAAATTTTAATACATACTCAAAAATTTCTAGAAGAATCATTTTATTTGGTCAGTCTTGTAACTTTACAAAATAGAAAAGCCTTTTCTGTTTGTTAACGTCCATTTTCACTTCATTTCCAGTCTATTTCCTATCACTAAATACTTAGGGGAAGGAAAAGATAAATAAAAAAATGAGAGGTTGGTATGCTGCTATCATAATTCCAACTAAATTCAATTTTACCAACTTTTATAGGGAACCTGTTATGTTAAAGACAAATAACGCTTAGTGAAGCATAACTTTCTCTGAGTATGATGATTTTGCTTGGAAGTGGTATCCCAGGAACAAGTTGGAATATTGGCTTTAGGACAAGCTGGGAGTGAGAACTGGAATCTGAGTAGAATGGCCCCAGGTATAAGCCAACATTCAGATCAAGTCCAAACATGGAGATGGTTAAAATACACAATGCCAAGCAGGATGGGTATACTTTTATAGGGCTAGGTGAACTTTCAGAAGAACAAGGAAGAAATGGCAAGTGTACTACCGGGTACCAGAGGTACACAGTAGATCTGAGATGAGACTAAAAGATTAGGAACAACACCCAAGACTAATATGAATAAGACAGAAAAGCTGGGCCAAGCCAATGAGTTGCAGAATGGGACAGAGTTCCTTACGATTCATGTATCTGGATGGCAAGAAAGTAATCCTGGGTACCTAAATCGGCCAGACACACAGCGTGGATTCCCCAAGGGAGGGTCCTAGAGAACTATGCTCTAATAACACCTTAGCTCTTTCTTGTGACTGGGGCAACCAAAGACTATTTCCTCATTTCAAGATTGGGCACTACAAGAGTAACACTCCTTCTAACCTCTGGCTTCCCTGGAAAAGGAGCTAGAACTGATAGATGAGGTAAGTGATCACTGACTAACGAATTGAGAGTGAATACAGATGACGGAGAGGAGGTATTAAAAAATAATGGAGATTCCGAGCCTGGGAAAAGGGTGGTGCCACTGTTAGAATACTGGACTTTGGAAAGCAAACAAACAAACAAAAACTAATTTGCCAGGAAGTAGGCACATTAAATCAAGCTGGCAAATCAGCACACTTAGGCAACTTTGTGAGAGCTGGGTATTTCTATAATTTTTATAATCCTAAAATAGACTGGTGGAAGACTTTTGGTTTGAAGAACAAATCAGTATTTGCCTTTAGATTCTTGGAAATAATCTAAAATCAACATTGGGAATAAACACTAAAAGCACAAACTCCATTTTTTGGTAGAACTAGAAGCAGTTAAAACCCCAAATTGCAAATGGATGGCAGGACCACTGGCAAAAGGGCTGGCAGAATTAGTGGAGACTGAACAAGGATGGGTGCAGGAGAAAGCAATGGAAGGTGACCGAGGAGACAGGAAGGCCATACTGTAGAGATTCAGAGGAACCTGCTGGGATTTTGGCTGTATGACCCACAATTCCATATGTGAGTTTCTTCCGTTGTTTTTGTTTGTTTGTTTCCTCCAGCCAATGGATGAAGGAAGCTTTGGGATCTCTCCTCTCCAGCTACCGCAGAGATGCTGCTTCCTGCAAACAGTTTGCCTCTAGGACTCCTTATTTACCCCTACCTTTTCCATGAGATTCACAACACTATAAGAAAGCCTACAAATGCTATGGTTGCACATACAGAAAAATCCATAAGAGCTACTTTATAAAAAATTCATAAGAACGAAATTATAATCGATTGTAATTTTGAAAAGAGTTCAGTATGATTACTACATAAAACAACAATATACAAAAATTAATAGTAGGCATGTCCACTTGGCTATTATGAAGTAACTAGTACCAGGCCGCTCTCTTACTGTGACTGTGGAATTCGTTTTTCTTTAATTCTGTTTTTGCTCTGTGTGTTGTGATGCTGTTACTAGGGGCACACATATTTAAGAGTATTATGTTTTCTTAACAATTGATCTTTTTTTTTTTTTTGAGACGGAGTTTCGCTCTTGTTACCCAGGCTGGAGTGCAATGGTGCAATCTCCGCTCACCACAACCTCCGCCTCCTGGGTTCAGGCAATTCTCCTGCCTCAGCCTCCTGAGTAGCTGGGATTAAAGGCACGTGCCACCATGCCCAGCTAATTTTTTGTATTTTTAGTAGAGATGGGGTTTCATCATGCTGACCAGGATGGTCTCCATCTCTTGACCTCGTGATCCACCCGCCTCAGCCTCCCAAAGTGCTGGGATTACAGGCTTGAGCCACCGCGCACAGCCCAACAATTGATCTTTTTATCCTTATGAAATGCCCCTCTTTGTCACTGGCAGTTCTCTTTGCCTTGACGTCTGTTTTATCTGGCATAAGTACAGCCACTCCAGCCTTGTTATGCTTTCTTTTTGCATGATACATCTTTTCCCACCCACTTACTTTCAACCTATTTGTATCATTATACTTAATGTATATCTTCTATAAGCATCATATAGTTGGTTCTTGTGTTTATTAGCCACACTGATAATCTCTGCCTTTTTATATTAATGTTCAGTTAACAATAATTAATGTAATTATTGATATGGTTGGATTTTAATAACATAAGCTTGTGAAATTAACAAATAACATTTGATAATTTATTTTGTGTTTTTCTCCTCCTACCTCTCTTTTTTCCCTCTTTTTCTCTTTCCATGTTTTCTTTTAGATTATTTACTCTTTAGAATTCTATTTAAATTTCTGTTGGCTTTTTAGCAATTCTGTGTTTTATTAGTGGTTGCTTCAGAGATAATATATAACAACTTTTCACAGTCTACTTGGAGTTACTATTAAGTATAGTAACACATATATTTCAGCAATTGATAGAACAACTAGTCTAAAACTTAGTGAAGACATAGATGACCTAACACCACTATCAGCCATCCTGACCTGCATTTATAAAACATTACATCTACCAATACAGGGTGCACATTCAAGCACACATGGGTCATTTACCAAGACAGATCACTTGCTGGGACATAAGACCAGTTTTGATACATTTAAATGGATTGAAATCATATAGAATATATCTGTTCTCTGAAAACAACAGATGTAAGTTAGAAGCCAGTAATGATTAGACACCTTGAAAAAAAAGTCAAATATTTGAAAATTAAATTACACAATAAAAATAATGCATGGGTCAAGGAGAAATCAAGAAATTAAAAAATTTTTCAAATTAAATTATTGTTAAAATACAATATATTAAAACTGAGATACAGCTAAAGCAGTATTTGGAGGGAAATGTAGCTTTCAACACATATGAAAGAAAAGAACAAAAGTCAAAAAAAAAATCAATGGCCTAATGTTTCACCTCAAGAAACTAGAAAAATAAATGAAAAAACAACAACGAAGTAAATTAGCCAAAATTTTAGTCTTTGAAAAGATCAACAATATTGACAAGCTCCTGGCTAGACCAATGAAGAAATGAAAGAAAAACAACATATATCTCCAATATCAAGAATGAAAACAGATCTTACAAGGTTACATCAACAAATTTGACAATTTAGAAGAGAAGTGAACAACTCCATTAAAGATACAAACTTGCAAAGCTTAGTAAAGAAGAAACAGACAGCCATCTGTTTAAAAAATGGAACTCATGGTTAAAATTTTCCCACTAATTAAGAAAATTCCAGGCCCAGACAGCTTTACTGGTAAATTCTACCAAGCATTTAAGGAAGAAATTATACCAAGTCTACACAAAATATTTCTGAAAACAGAAAAGAACAAAATGCTTCCCAAAACTATTAAATAAGGTCTGTAATAATTTAGCCCTTGGATAAGACTCAGAAATCAATGCCTTAGTAACTAACAGTCCTTCACCCTTGTGGGAAATGATGGATGGTTTATCTGGCACACTCGACCTAAATTTCTTAATAGAACTCAGAGATAGCAGAAGCCTCTTACTAAGTAGGGGGACAAGTCTACTCCAACTTCTCTGCTTGGGTGGAATACAAGGACTTTTATTCATTCTACATGAGAATCCCAAAGAGTCAAACCTTGCCCTGATGTGTTAGCAAGCCTGAGAGCAAATCAAGGCTTCCAGGGGTGGGGGGAATGCAGCTATCAGGTATGAGGCTGAACCAGGTGAGAGACCTCTTCACACGGCAACAAGATACAGGATGCTCAGAATACCAGCAAATCGTTTCACATTATCATTTGGGATTCTAAGTCCGACGATGTGTGAACTAGTTAATGAGCTGAGCACTGGGCCAGGTCACAGCTGAAAAGGTCTGCCCCTAAGACGGTCTGATCCTAAGGAAGGGAGGTCCTGAAGCTAGTGCTAGACAAAGGGGCATTATCATTAAATCCATCCAGGGAAAGGTGACGGTAGCATCCAGGAAAACATTGCCAAGGACTGGAAACCAACACTCAGATAATCCTCTGTCAGAAATGTAGAGAGCACAGAAAAATGAAAAAGGAAAAGCAAGGAAGGAACAAACTGAAGTGTCTCAGGTACGTGATATAATCATAGTTTCTGGAAAGAACCCGAGCGGTGGTGTGGAGGGAGATCTGTAAGGAGGACTTAGGCAGAAATCCACGTTGCAAGAGTGCAAACCAGAGAAGACAAGTGCCTACAATAAAATATAACGTGGAGAAATTGTGGATTTACAAGACACGTCTGAGACAGATTAAAACAAGTTAGTGCCAATTTTGCATGTGTACTGATTTTCCCAGGACCTCATCTTCTCTAGGTGAACAGTCAAAATAAAATTTCTAAAATTATATTTAGGATTAGAACCTTAAAAAGTCAAGATTCCACTAAGATACCTAACATTTTGACAGTCAGAGCCAGCCATCTTTCAAAAATCCTAGTTATAAATTCCTCCTTTTTAATTCCATTGAAGTCTATGAAATTCTTCTACATGTTATCCTATTTAGTTCCTGAGTGACTCATAATTGTTGTTTTAATGGGTGAGAAAATCGAGGCTCAGAAAGATGTGATCATTTTTCCAAGATCAAGCATCTCTAAATGGTAGATCGAGGACTGAAAACCAAAGTCCAGGTCTCTTTCCACTACGCTGTCATCAGAAAAGTGCATTAGAGACTTAGCAGCTCTCACAGGAGAACTCTAGACTACAGGGGTGGACAGGTTAGTGTCAACCCGTGTGCCAGCAGCTGTGATGAACCAGCAAACACAGACTGCCCTCAAGGAACTTCGAGTTTTGTCAGGGAAAACCATTTCTGTTCTATCAACTCAGATACGCACTACTTAAAAATTACTTTGCTCACTTCATCTACTTGATTGTAAAAAAAAAAAAAAAAAAAAAAAGAATTAGTTCGCCTATTTTTTGGACTTTTTAGAAAATTTTTATTTTTATTGAAGTACATGCCCGTAACATAAAAAGTCAAGTAATTCTGAGACTTGTTTTTAAAATACTCAACTTAAAAAAATACTCAACTTTTCCCTGCTTAACAGCCTTCTCGTATCTCTCCAAAAGTATCACTTTTAGCTTTTAATCTTCTGAAACTTACCTCCGTATTTCTAAACAATATGGCTATCATGCTCTCTCTAGTCACTTTTAGACAGTGTTTGTCATGGGGAGATTAAGAATGTTAAATCTCTGTCACCGCTTGCTATCTCTCTGCCTTGCAGTATAATTAAAGCACTACAAAACTACAGTGAGGTCCATGCCTACTGTTTTTAGTATATTGGCTTAATAATGCTCATTCCTGAGTTAAGAATTTATTATTTCCTTCTTAACAACCCACTTTTCTATAACGAATAATTTTCTCATTTATTTTCACTTCCTGACTTTCTGGAATCTCCTGGTAAGTCTTCCCACATCTTGCCATAGTTCTACGAATTCCACTCAATTCCCTTTTCTGCCTGCATCTATCAGATACTCTATCATTTAACCTTTTCTAACTTTCCTGGAGGTGACAATTCCCCTTTCCTTGCTTTACTCACAGAAAATTGCTCTCTGTGTGGCTGCCCAGGTGTCATCGTGGGCGTTACCTTTGCCCTATTTTTATTTTGAATCTCTCATTTCCTGGACTCCATGTAGTCTTTTTTCCTTTGCCAACTCCATCATTCTTATGAAGCCCACCTTCCTATAGCTTTATGGGAAAAGGGACTATAAGAGATCTATTTTATGAGAGTCCACTCTTTCTTTTCTACTATAAAAATTGACTGTTTACCTAAATGTAATACTTTTTTTTTTTTTTTTTTTTTTGAGACGGAGTTTCGCTCTTGTTACCCAGGCTGGGGTGCAATGACGCGATCTCGGCTCACCGCAACCTCCGCCTCCTGGGTTCAGGCAATTCTCCTGCCTCAGCCTCCCGAGTAGCTGGGATTACAGGCACGCGCCACCATGCCCAGCTAATTTTTTGTATTTTTAATAGAGATGGGGTTTCACCATGTTGACCAGGATGGTCTCGATCTCTTCACCTCGTGATCCACCCACCTCGGCCTCCCAAAGTGCTGGGATTACAGGCTTGAGCCACCGCGCCCGGCCCATGTAGTACTTTTAAAAGTGCATATGTATAATCTTTACTTACATCTCGATCCCGATTTAGAAGACCTCAGAGAATGCTTCCCATCACTCTTTGATCTACCTGATTTCTCCCCATCAGTATCCTGATCATCTGGTTCCTTCATTTCCTCTGTAAGTACAAAATTGGAATGAGAAATGGTTAATGCTATAAAACAGAAATTAACAAATTTCCCCCTAACACATTTCATAAGCACCAAACACCATGTGTGTGCACAGGGTCCAGGATGAGCCACCAGCAAGAGGGTGCAACTACCGTCAGAGACCTCTGATCTCTGCAGAACAGCTAATTCTCACCACAGATTCTCTTTCTCTAAGTAAACTTGCATTAGGGTGCACTTTGGTTCTCCAGAGGTCCACAGTGAAACACGTTACCAAAGTCCATCTTTTCCCCAAATGCTTCACCACTAAAATTAACCTTCTGCCATGCTATGTCTGGTCCATCCCTCCCTCTCTCTCCTTCCATTTTCAAATTCCCTTGGAGTTACTTTTCAGTTTTGAAATATTTTTTGAGCACACCTGCAGTATATCAAGTTTTATGTTGGGTACTAAATTACAAAACTGGAAAAGGGAAATATGGCCCCTCACTTTATGGAGCTTGTTTAGAAAGATAGATGTTAAACAAGCAATTAATATAATGCATGCTACAAAAAGGAAAACATAGGGTGCTGTGGGCACAGGTAGCAAGAAGTGTGAAACATGATGGGAGGTTAGAGGAGAGGCGTTTGAGACATGGACAACGGTCAGGAGTTGGCCAGGCATAGAATGTGAAAGGTACGTTAGGCACAGCAGAGAGGGCTGTATCTTTAAAGGGCTGCAGGCAGTCTATTGGCCAGAGTGGGAGAGTCAAATGGATAGCAAAAAGGAGATACACCATGGAATACTATGCAGCCATAAAAAAAAGATGGGTTCATGGCCTTTGCAGGGACATGGATGAAACTGGAAACCATCATTCTCAGCAAACTGACACAAGAACAGAAAATCAAAGACCACATGTTCTCACTCAAGTGGGTATTGAACAATGAGAACATACGGACACACACTGGAGCCTGGGGGGTGGGGAGCTAGGGGAGGAATAGCAGGGGGTGGGGAGGTTGCAGAGGGATAGCATTAGGAGAAATACCTAATGTAGATGATGGGGCGATGGATGCAGCAAGCCAGTACCACGGCATGTGTATACCTATGTAACAACCCTGCACAATCTGTGCATTACCCCGGAACTTAGAGTATAATAAATAAATTAAAAAAAAAGAAAAGGAGATGGGTAGCATATCATTAAGTTGTCTGTAAGCTTACTAAGAAGTTATACCTTATTTCTTTAGCAACTAAAAACTACTAAAGGGTTTTAAATAGGGGGTGACACAACAGGTGTTCTCTGCACCTTGTCTATATTGCAGCTTTTCATATGCTCGAAAACACCTCCCTTCCAAGCCTCCACTTCCCTATACTAAACACCTCATGTTTCCTCAACATTCTTCGATGATATGCCTGGGAAGCAGAATGGAACACTGGTTCTATTTGGATCAGATGTATAGTTAGATCAGGGTTTGAATCCCAGTACTGACATGTAACTAGATGATTCCTAAACTACATGAAAGGGAATGAAGAGAAAGCTTTTCACAAGCCTGCCGTGAGGATGACTAACCGGCCACATCGCTATTCCTTCCTGGTCTCTGAACACAGACTGGTGTGCCTACAGCAGATGTGGAACACTACGTGATCCAAGGGCGAAGGAGAGTGGAGTGTGACTGCCTCCCTTCCACTGGGCATTAGGCTACGTTCCATGTTTCCTTGCAGTGACGTCACAATGATGCCTTCTTCTGATTTGGGGGATAACAGTAGATTACCTCAACACTTGTCTTCTAGATTGTCATCAAGATACGGGCGGGTGCGGTGGCTCATGCCTGTAATCTTGGCAGTTTGACAGGCTGAGGCAGGAGGACTCCTTGAGCCCCAGAGTCAGGGACCAACAGGAGAAACATAGCAAGGCCCCGTGTGTGTTAGTTTGTTCTCACACCACTAATAAAGACATACCTGATAATGGGTAGTTCATAAAGGAAAGAGATTTAATTGACTCACAGTTTAGCATGGCCAGGGAAGCCTCAGGAAACTTACACTCATGGTAGAAGCGGAAGCAAACACCTCTTTCTTCACGTGGTGGCAGCAAGGAAAAGTGCAGAGCAAATGGGAATAAAACCCCTTATAAAACCATGATTTTGTGAGAATTCAGTGTCTCAAGAACAGGATGAGGTAACTGCCCCATGATTCAATTACCTCCCACCAGGTCCCTCCTATGACACATGGGGCTTATGAGAACTATAGTTCAAAATCAGATTTGGGTGGGGGCACAGCCAAATCATCTCTACAAAAAAATTTAAATGGCCAGGCATAGTGATGTATGCCGGTAGTCCCAGCTACTCAGGAGGCTGAGGCAGGAGGATCACTTCAGTCCGGGAGTTTGAGACTGCAGTAAGCTAGGATCGCACCACTGCGCTCCAGCCCGAGTGACAGAGAAACACCCTGCTTCTAAAATAAAAAAAATAAAAAAGATATGGTCTAACATGATATTCATGTTAATAAGTTTTATATTTTAGAGGCATTCTTCTGGGTTACCAAAATAATGTTTTACTTTTTAAAATGTGTGTGTGTGTGTGTGTGTGTGTGTGTGTGTTTACATGTTTTTTATTTCCTTTCTTTTTTAGCTGGGAATCTTCCTGCCTCTTTCTCTCTCCATCCTTTCGTCCTTTTCTCCTTCTCTTCCTTCCTCTTTTCTTTCCTGCCACCTAATTGTAGAATATATGCCCTTTGGGGCTTGGGGGATGGGGCTAGGAATCAAACAGTAGAAAACTTTAAGTAGCAAAATATTTTAAAACTCACATTCTGTCATTCAGTATATTTTCTATTTCTTCCAGTTTTGGATACACAGGCTACTATGTTACTCTATAGTGAGTAACTGATTTTTTTAAAAGAAAGAATTATCCAGATAATTCAATTATTACAGATCTTAGTTATAAATTACCACATATTGTGAGTAAAGTTGTTCCGATAGATACAAACACACCTAAATGCTATTTTCTCCTTTGTCTTCCTAATTTAATTCTTAAAACTACTGATCATATTATTATGCTAGGCATTGCAGTGGCCCCTGCTTTCTTGCTGGCTGTTAGCCAAGAGTCCTTCTAAGTTCCAGAGGGCGCTCGCATTCCTTCACTTACGGTGCCCTTTAAAGCCAGGAATAAAGAAAGGGTCAAGTTCCTCTTAGTGATTTGAATCTCACGATCTTCCTTCCTGCTCTCATAAACCTCATGACTTCAGGAGATCACTTTCCACTTTTCAGTCTTGTTTTTCCTGAATACATTTATTTTTAACATACTATAACTGAATGTTATCTGGATGTAGATTCTAATAAAGAGAGCCCATAGTTTATTCGTAAGATAATCATAAAGAGAGTAAAAAGCAATTATGGTAAGTAACTAAATCACTCTGAAAACAAAGGAGTTGAACCACAGCAAAAAGGACGTTGGTGTCCAGGCAAAAGCACCACACGTTACTCCGTGCTGTCTTAAACGGTATATTCCTCAAAGGGCTAACGGTACCATGTAATAAACTTTCATATCACAAACCCAGTTATTGTCAGGTTGTGTACAACGTGGGAGGAAATACTGGAACCCAAGGAATTTGCCCAGTGTTCTGAAGTAGCAATACCAGACAATAAATACCAGGATCTATTCCCAGCTTTTCTGGGTCCAAAAAACAGTGACTGAAGAACCTGTAAGAAGCAGTAGAGCAGGTCAGGTGGGAGAGGCTCCTGTTCTCCCGGAGACTAGCAGCATAACTGGAGAGGTACAAGAAGGTACTTTTGTTTTAATAACAAAGGGATTGGGAAGCTGTATTGTAAGCTGCAGAGACTTGGGTTCACATCCAAGACACAAGTTCCTTAACCTCTTGGTCCTTTAATATGTAAACTGGGGGTGACGGGTTATTTGGTAGAGTTGTTGTAAATATTAAATGAGCTCTTTTATATACAGAGTTTTCAACTTTGACTGCACTTTAGAATCACTTGGAAAACTTAAAAACATACCATTAACAGGGTCTCATTCTCCAGGTAATTCTTTAGGGTAGTCAGGCTAAGAACTGGTTAGGAATCATGAGTTTCAATGAAACACCTCGTAGGCACTCAGAAATGGCGATTGTTTTTACCATACTCCTAGAGATTCTCTTTGACACAGATAAAATCATGGATCCTTCAGAGTTGAAAGAGGACTTCCCTAGTTTAACTTCCTATCCCATACAGGTCACACATCCTCAATATCCATCCCAGCACTGTAGAAAAGTAGCCTAGTGTGTTGGCCAGAGCTGAGGATACTAGCTAGAGTCAGTCTGACTAGGTTTCAATGTTGGCGCATCCTCTTCCTGGTGGTGAGGTGTTAACCAGGTGTTTAATTGCTGTGTGCCTCAGTATTTCCATCTGGAACATGCGGTGCCTACTGCATGAGGTTGTTCTGAGTCACCGCAGAAAAGCTCTAAGAATGGTACGTGGCACTCAATATGTAAAATGGTTGCAAGAATGAATGTATTAATATATTCCTGAATAAATAAACAAATGAAAGAACAAGATTGCCAGCCAGCTTCCATTTAAATGTTTCGGGTGAGTGAGCACATTCCGTCAATGCTCAGCTCTAGTTCTTAGCACATATTATATGAAGCTGAAATCCGCCTCCCTGCAACTTAGATCCATGTGACCGTTGCTTTTTTCTTCTGAGAACACACAGAATAAGATTTTCTGTGTACTTAGGCTATTCAAATAATTGTAGTTGGCTCTCAGTTCTCTCCAGATCTTCCCTCTTCCCAGAGAAAGTATCCCAATTATTTCAATTATTCCTCAATGACATGTTTCCGACTTTTCTTTACCACCCTGATAGCTCAAGAAGTGAATTCCTAATGCATCATATATCCCTCCTAATTTTATACGTTCTTCGTAAGATCTGAACACTTTCCGGAAGGCAGGAACTACCGCTTCTCTTCTCCAGAAGAGAGGAACTACCTTTGCAGATGTTCATTGTATTGCTGAAAGGCAGTCAAAGTCTGGGTTCTAGACCATGTTCTACCTTTTACCAGTAAACCGGTTAGGTTTGGGAGTCTCCTTATAAAACTAGCATAAATTTCCTTTCATTAGATCCAGGCCTATTGGTCCGGCCTACAGCCAATTCTTTTAACTAACTCATCAGTGTGACTATATAGTTTTGAGTTGTGAAAGCTGTCAGAATTGAATGGAGCCACCAGTGTTAAAAACGAACCCTGACAAATAGAGCGGGGGAAGGCTGCGAAGAGTGGGTTCTCACACTTGTATGCTGGATAACTATCCCAAAAGACTGCAAAGACCACACCCTTCCACAAAAGCCATCGCAACCTTACACACACCCCCAAAAAATACTTCTACAAGGACATCTGCCCAACGACTGCCTGTCCAACCTCAGACTAGCATCACACTTACTGTTGATCTTTGTCGCCAAGGATAATTATCTCAAAATAATTATATAATCTCTTTCATTTTTCCTTTAAAACCCTTTGTCTTCTTTTACCTCCCTGAATATACAAATAGTTTACCACGGCACACATATTCCATTGCAGTGCCTTACTCCTGAATAAATATCATTTTCTTTCAGAAAGCCTCTCTTTGTTTGTTATTTAGGTTGACAGGGTCAACCCTAAGGAAGTATAAGGAAAACGGGAAAATAATAGTCACATTGATGCAGAGGAGTGTGTTGCCAGATGTTAGCTGGATGTCAGAGCACTCTCTAAGGTGACATTACTCTGATTCATTCACCAGAGTCCAGAGTCTGGTCCTCTCTGCTCACAAGCTCACTCAATCCCAGCAGTGTGCCAGAGGTGGTTATTTAAGATTCATGGTGACTGATGGTATAAAACAGACTCTCGATTTTTACTTTGCAATGTGAAATACAGCTGTGGAGAAAAAAAAGCAATAGCTGGCCGGGCGCAGTGGTTCACGCCTGTAATCCCAGCACTTTGCGAGGCCGAAGCAGGTGGATCACGAGGTCAAGAGATCGAGACCATCCTGGTCAACATGGTGAAACCCCGTCTCTACTAAAAATACAAAAATTATCTGGGCACGGTGGTGTGTGCCTGTAATCCCAGCTACTCAGGAGGCTGAGGCAGGAGAATTGCCTGAACCCAGGAGGCGGAGGTTGTGGTGAGCCGAGATTGCGCCATTGCACTCCAGCCTGGGTAACAAGAGTGAAACTCCATCTCAAAAAAAAAAGTAATAGCTTGTATTTTTTAATGTTTACTATGTGTCAAGCACAGTTCTAAGAAATTCTACACATATCACATAGTTCTCAAAACAACCCTATGAGGCAGGTGCCTTTTTTTTTTTTTTACTTGTTTTTATTTACTTATTTGAGATGGAGTCTCACTCTATCACCCAGGCTGGAATGCAGTGGTGTGATCTCGGCTCACTGCAACCTCTGCCTCCTGGGTTCAAGCGATTCCCATGACTCAGTCTCCTAGTAGCTGGGATTACAAGTGCCCACCACCAAGCCCAGCTAATTTTGGTATTTTTAGTAGAGGCGGAGTTTCTCCATGTTGGTCAGGCTGCTCTCAAACTCCTGACCTCAGGTGATCCACCCTGAGGCCTCCCAAAGTGCTGGGATTGCAGGCATGAGCCACTGTGCACGGCCGATTATTTTAAAATCTTGCTATCTATTATTATTATTGTCATTATGTTACAGATGAGAAAGCACCACATTTACTCTGAATCTGTCCCTCTCGCCCAACTCATGTAACTCATGGAAATGATTTCCAAGTCCTGTTACTAAGTAGTCAGTAATTAAGGCTTTTGAATTCCTCCCCTCCCTTCAGTTCCCGCCGTCCCTGCTGTCCCTCAGTAGTTCCAGTCCTATTGTGTCTCACTCTGCAGCATCAGACTTTGTCTTCCCTTCTCGAATCCATTTCTACACGATCTCTTCTATTTCTAAAATACAGCTTTTAACGTATCACTCTCGCCCTGGCGTAAAGGTCCCTTGTCAGAGGGTCTGTAGCTTATTCCAGCTCAGCTACGGTCACTCTGTGTCCCTGGCCTCCTTAGCCCCTTCTCCTCTCAAAGGTTTTCATCAGTGCGCACCCTGAGCAACTCATGACTGATTGCACACACTGAGCAGCATACTCGTACGCGACTGTCTTTGCCTATTATTCAACAAGTATTTGTTGTGCACCTACTGTATGCCCCCCACATGCTAAGCACTTTACTTGTGTTGTCCTATTGAATAATAACAAGAACTCCACGAATTCGCATTATCACCCTCCTTTCTGGAGACGAGGAAGCTGAAGTGCAGGGGGGCCAGCGTGCCAAGCAGCCCGGCACTCTACCTGCAGACTGGCTGCTGCTCTCATCTGGTCAGGTCTAGCCGTGGTCCTGCCCCCTGGCTGCCTTCCACCCGCTCAGACTGACAGCATCTGGCAGGCAGGAACCGTGCATAGTGCCCAGCTCTGAGCGCGAGAATAATGCTCTGGCTCCAAGTTTGCGGAGCTACCGCAGGGAGGACGAAGGCTGTTTCAGCACAGCCTGGGGAACACCGGTCCAGCCTGAGAGAAGCACAAGTGGGGTTCACTGCCCTCTGAGCCATAAACAGATTTAAGGGGGAGGGTGTGGGAACCGCCGGCTGCTGAGATCCAAACTCACCGAAGGCACGGACCGCAGCAGCTCCTCCCTTCCTCCTTTCTCCCTTCGCAGCGTCTGCCCGAGGCCTCCGTTTACTTCGGTTACCGCGGCAACGCCGCCCCTCTTCCAGGCACGCGGAACCCGGCGGCCGCGGGGCGCCTGCGCGGCAGGTGTCCAGCTCTGCAGGTGACCCAGCAGCGGTGACACCGGGAACCCGGTACCATCGCTCTCTGGTCGGGCCTTTTCCGCCTCATGACACTGGTTCAAAGCCAAACAGAAAAGCCCGACGAGTTTATTATCCCCTAAAGGACGTCACGTAGCTAATTAAATGACATGGATACTGTGGAAGACACCTGCCCGACATTCCAAAATGGCCCAATGGGGCCCCGATCGCGGCGTTCCTATGTGGAAGACACCTGCCCGACATTCCAAAATGGCCCAATGGGGCCCCGATCGCGGCGTTCCTATGTTGAGGTTTTAACTCTAAGAGGGGCCCTGGGAGACGGCGGGCAGCTTGCTGGCAACATCAACAACAAAGATACATAGTGGAGTTTTTGTTATTTTTTAAGCTGTATTATCTCTGTTGGCTTTTAAGAGTAAACCAGGTTTTAGATCGTGGGTTTCTTGGTCGCAGGGCACAAAAGTAGCGGCCTCCCTTGACAGACCTAAGTTCAGCAGTTTGGGCAACTTCTCTGTAGTACAGCGGGCATACTGTTTTTAAAGTACTAGCCTAACGCTATTAGTTACAAAATACTGTTTTTAAAACGGTTACAACATTGCAATATCTGACAAAGGACTTTGTATCCAGAATGTGTAAAGAACTCTTACAATTCAATAAGAAAAAAATACCCAATTTTTATTTTTTATTTTTTTGAGACGGAGTTTCGCTCTTGTTACCCAGGCTGGAGTGCAATGGCACGATCTCGGCTCACCGCAACCTCCGCCTCCTGGGTTCAGGCAATTCTCCTGCCTCAGCCTCCCGAGTAGCTGGGATTACAGGCACACACCACCATGCCCAGCTAATTTTTCTTTTTGTATTTTTAGTAGAGACAGGGTTTCACCATGTTGACCAGGATGGTCTTGATCTCTTGACCTCATGATCCACCCACCTCGGCCTCTGAAAGTGCTGGGATTACAGACTTGAGCCACCACGCCTGGCCCAAAACTACCCAATTTCTTAAATGGGCAAAGGATTTGAATACTTTACCAAGTAAGATATATATATGGCCAATAAGCACATGGAAGGATGCTTAACAGTAGTCACAGGGGAGATACAAACCACAATACATGTAACTCCATATCCACAAAGGGGGCAAACTGCTCAAAGACTGCCAACACCAAATGCAGAGGGACATGGAGGACTCACATACCTGCTGCTGGGGCTGTAAAATGGCATAACCACTTTGGAAGACTATTTGGTAACTTTTAACTTCAAAAGTTAAACATACACAAAGCCATTCCACATCCAAGACAGTCTAGAGACTTGCGCAAAGTGGTGGCCTGGGACTTAGTGAGATGCACTGGAAAGAGACACAAGGAATCTTAGAAATGATGAACGCTGTGCCTTAATTGTGGCGGTAATTATGGGTATATACAACTGCCAGAAGCCAATAAACTTTCTCTTTAAATGGATGTATTGTTTAATTTATAAATTATTTCTCAATACAATTGGCAAGAGAAAATGGCTATAATTTGTTTATTGGTTTCCACAATATTACATAAATACCATGCACTTATTTGCAATATGGAATGTCCTTGCTGTTATTAAATGGTATATAGAGGTGCCAGAAAGATACAAATAAACTTATTTTTAAATAGCGTTATTTTCAAATCATATGCACAGTATGTTTTGTTTCAGCCTCTGGGTATCTTCTCAGGTGAAGTATCTCTAAATGTCAAGCACTGTGTGCAATTGTTAATCTGAGAAAAACAATAAATTCACTATACAATGTCTTTAAAAAAATGAAAACATGGGGGAAACAGTGTATTTATTTACACACAAAAATTGGCAGTAATCATTCCTGAGAGCTTGTCCTGAGCCAGGCTCTGAGCCCTGGCCATTTACCTATGCTTGCCTCACTTCAACCTCACAAGCCTCCAAGGAACATGGACTATTATGTCTAACGTTCCAATGGAAAGGATGAAGCTACTGTGTGCAAGGGACGCAGCTCAGGTGGCGGAAGTGGCACTGAAGCAAGCTTTCTGGTTTCAGTACCTGGGTCCTCGGTTACTGTACTATATTAGTTCCCATAACTAATTAGGAAAAGTCCAATAATTGCAAGTTCCACTCTTGGCTTTATTTCTTAAAAGCACTGTCATTAGACAACTTTCGTCACCTCTAGGGCTCGGTGTCCTCATCTGTAAAGGTGTTGGAAGAGGAGGAAGCATTTCCATGCCTCTGATTCATGAGGCTCCTATGAGATTTAAATGAGATAATTGTGATTATCTTACAGTGCCTGAAACCGTAATGGCTCAGTAAGGCATAGCTGTTTTCATTATGATGCTACTTCCATACCACACACTGTAAGACAGATTTACCCTCCAGCAAGCGGCAAAGCATAGGCCTCAGAGAAAGACGGCTTAAGTCCCCATTCTAGTGCCACCACTCTCTAGTTGTGTGACCTTGAGAAAATACCACGTTGTACTTCAGTTTCCTCATCTGCAAAATGAGGATAATAGTAGCTATCTCATAAGGTGTCATGAAGCACATACAGCGGCTACAACAGGGCCTAGTACAGACTTAACAGTTACGTTACTCTTAAATTCTGCTAACCAAAATCATTGCGTTGTACAGCATAGGAATGATCATATCGTAACTGTGGATGTTGTTATCAATCCAGTATCTCTGCCAACCGGTAATTTGGAAAACTATAAATTTCAGGTTGAGCAAGTTATTAGCTGCTTTCTGGGGCATATTAGAGAAGTCACATGTTATCCAAATATATGATTCTAAACACAAGTAACCCCAGTTTGAATTGTTAAAAGCAAATACAAATGTAGTACATCATAGTCAAACATCGCAGAGTTCACCCATATCCAGTGCTATAGATGAAGAGCATGCATCAGAATTGCCTGAATAGGCATTTTTTTTTTTTTTGAGATGGGTCTCACTCTGTTGCCCAGGCTGGAGTGCAGTGGTGGTGCAATCTCAGCTCACTGCAATCTCTGCTTCCCAGGCTCAAGCAAATCTCCAGCCTCGTCCTCCTGAGTAGCTGGGACTATGGGTGTGAGCCACCAATGCCCAGCTAATTTTTGCAAAGACAGGGTTTCACCATGTTGCCCAAGCTGGTCTCAAACCCCTAAGTTCAAAGCAATCTGCAAACTCAACCTCCCAAAGAACTGGGATTATAGATGTGAGCCACTGTGCCCAGCCCCAAACAGCTTATTAAAACAGACACCAGAGTTTCTGATTCAATAGGTCTGTGGTGGGACCCAAGAATGTTCATTTCTAACAAGTCCCCCAGGTTATGCTGATGCTGCAGGTTCACACTTTGAGATCTACTTAGGCAGAGGGATCTACAGGCTGATAAAAGAGGCCCAGCAGGGCACATTGGCTCACATCTGTAATCCCAGCACTTTGGGAGGCCGAGGCGGGAGGATCACGAGGTCAAGAGATTGAACATGGTGAAACCCTGTCTCTACTAAAAATACAAAAATTAGCCGGGTGTGGTGGCGCATGCCTGTAATCCCAGCTACTCGGGAGGCTGAGGCAGGAGAATTGCCTGAACCCAGGAGGTAGAGGCTACAGTGCACTGAGACTGCACCACTGCACTCCAGCCTGGCACCTGGTGACAGAGTATTTGGGGGTGACAGGTATCTTTATAATGTTTCCCAAATCTGGCTGCACACTGGAATCATCTGAAGACATTCTTAAAAATGCTGATGTTTGTGTCCTGCCACAAGGGATTCTAATTTAATTGATCTATGTGAAACAACGGCGATGGAAATTTTAGAAGGTCCCCAGATGACTAATGGCAGCCGAAACGGAAAAGCCCTGCCTCAGAAGGCCCAAAAAAGAAAAGGCTCTCTTCCTTTCAACTGTTATTCTTGGAGTTTTTTCAATCTACGTTTATATTTTATCAGCAAAACCAAAGTTAACAGGATGGACACTTAAATGCCAGTCCCAAGGGTTACAGTGAACTAGTGATACAAGCCTTCTGCAATAGTTGTGAACCTGGGCTGCACACTAGACTCTTCCTGAGTAGCTTTTAAAACGCCATGCCAATACCACCCCTAGGTACTCATTTCGTGTTAATATTGTTTTAAATGCTCCCATGCTGAGAATCATGGCTTTTAAGGTTTAAAGGAATGTAGAAGGAAAAAACTTAAGAGCCAAAAAGTTAAAACATTAGGGAAAACATATGTCAAATAATACATTCACAAACAAGAAGAAAACTTCACACTTCAATATTATAAGGAGTAACACTAAAATTAGGCTTATATCCCAGATAGGGATGGCATATTTATTGGATACTAAGTTTCAAAAAGTGCAATACAGACAAAAGAATCTGCAGTAATGCGAATGAATACAGATGACTTTGCATAAGAAATCCAGTGATATTTAAATAATTATTTCTGCCACCACAAAAATGAAAAGGCCTACGGGAAAGCTGCAAAGGATACTTGGTAGAACAGCGATTTACAGCTATGGCAGAAGAAGTTATCCAGGTGGGTCAAGGTCTGTTCCACTCCTTCCATCTCACTCAGGCAGAGCTCATTCAAAAAAAAAAGTTTAAAATAAAAATCAACATCTAAGAACCAAATGGGTACCTGGAAAAATCCACCCTGGGCCGGGCGCAGTGGCGCATGCCTGTAATCCCAGCACTTTGGGAGACGAAGGCAGGTGGATCATTTGAGGTCAGGAGTTCGAGACTAGCCTGGCCAAAATAGTGAAACCCTATTTCTACTGAAAATGCACAAATTAGCTGGGTGTGGTGGCCTGTATCTATAATCCTAGCTACTCGGGAGGCTGAGGCGGGAGAACTGCTTGAACCTGAGAGACTGAGGTTGCGGTGAGCCAGACTGCACAACTGCGCTCCAGCCTGGGTAATAGAGCAAGACTCTCTGTCTCAAAAAGAAAAAACGAGAAATCTACCCTGAAATATCTGCTTAAATTCAGGGCTGCGATAAAGCCAAGAGCAACATTTTCTATTTAATTGTTTGAAACATTCAATGTACCATTAAATCAACGTTACCACATTTAGGAATTTGAGCTCTATTTGATTTGTATTACCATTATTGATGACATTTTCACATTTCAAAACTATGTAAGATTTTGTAATAAATACAACCACTCTTACCTGCGTAAGCAAATATAAACAAATACTCCCACATCTATTTTTTTAAGGTTGTATATTTCACTTGACAGAAAAAGTGACAGCAATGACTTCCCATCAAAAAAGAAAAGTGGGTGTTACATTTTCCTGAAGGCCAGATTCTAATCACACAGAGGAATTTTATTTTAAGTTCCACTCAAAGCAAATTAGTTCTTCAGGGGGAAAAAAAATGAAATGGATCAACATTTAAGATACATTAAACCTCAAAAAACCCTGAATAAAGATGACAATGGTAAAAAAGTATTAATTTAAAAAAACCCTTAAAATTCTTAAGAAAGTATTAAAATACAAAACTTTAACTTCTGTACAGTCAAAATTTCATTCACCAGGAACTGCAGGCCAGTTGGTTATTGAAAACTTATTTGAAAAAGTCAAAAACTAATTGCTTTCTTTCATTTCTTTGGTATTAATTCACAGGATCTTTGCAGGTTTTACTTGAAAGGAGGATATAATAAATTAAAAGCAGGGAAACGGGAGTGGAAGGTCGAAAATAAGTTATTAAGAACAAACTCCGTGAGACGTGACTTCACTTATGATACATGGGTAGAAAGAGCAAACCAGCCTTCTTCATTCTGTTTTTCAATCTGTTGAACAAAGACAGAACAAATTTTGACGGTAATCAGAAACATGAGGCTACTGAGATTTACAGATCATTTAGACCAAGTGCATAAACAAAGTCACCCTGTGCCATTGAACGGTACTGGAAATTAAATTGCCACTGGCAATGTTTATTCTCTATCAGACATACTATCAAATAACTAATCCTCTTACTGATTTAAGAGGTGAGATCACTGGTCAACAGATGCTGTTTTTGATTTAAGAGTCATAACTCTTTTTAAGTCCAGTGTTGTATAGATATCATGGGTACAAATTTTTTTTTTTTTTTTTGAGACGGAGTTTCGCTCTTGTTACCCAGGCTGGAGTGCAATGGCGCAATCTCGGCTCACCGCAACCTCCGCCTCCTGGGTTCAGGCAATTCTCTTGCCTCAGCCTCCCGAGTAGCTTGGATTACAGGCACGCACCACCGTGCCCAGCTAATTTTTTGTATTTTTAGTAGAGACGGGGTTTCACCATGCTGACCAGGATGGTCAGATAAATGATAAAAAGACAGTTATTTGGTCTTAGTAAATTAAATGTTACTGAATTCTAGGAACTAAGAATAATTTATATAAAATAGCTCACTTTAAAGGTTTTGTAGAATACAAGAAGTAGCAAAGAATAAGGCTCCTAGTACTGAACAGTTGAGGTATATAAGCCTACCATTTAATTTGAACTAAAAACACCCACTCTGTGATCTAATTCCTGAACTCAGTAATAAGAAATGCAAAGATTTTCCCGATGTCAGACAGTTGTTGGCTCAAGTATACAAAATTAATTTTTACAATTTTAAAAATATCCTCACAATTTACTATAACCAAAGGAACTATATTTTATTATACTAGCACCATAGAAAAATGCCTTCTGCAAAAATTTTGAATATACTGTGAAATGCTTAGCTTCTACACATACATGCGGCATATCAAAATACATGAAGAAAACATTAAGACATTTATTTTTCCCAGTACCATAACTTATCTAACCAACGGCACAGTCAGATACAGCACACAGGGATGAAGTGAGAGGCAAAGTGACTGGTCCTCTGCTCTGGCTGTCCCAGCCCCACCCAGTCACAAGGACTGCAGGAAACAGCAGCTCAGGAGATCTACACCCCACCGTCACAAGGACTGCAGGAAACAGCAGCTCAGGAGATCTACACCCCACCCAGTCACAAGGACTGCAGGAAACAGCAGCTCAGGAGATCTACAGCCCACCCAGTCACAAGGAATGCAGGAAACAGCAGCTCAGGAGATCTACACCCCACCCCATTCAAGGCACACCTGTGTCTCCTGCCATAATATTTGGGGAGCTCAACCTGAAGCCAGTACTTTCCAGTCTTTAAGGACTGCTGAATAGCCTATTGAATTTTACCCTATTCCTTAGTTACCCTAGAAAACAGAAGTAGTATATGGCTTGTTTTCCTAATGAAGATAAATTAATATTTCCTTTAAGAATTTCATATCAGCTTTAGGATAACAGGAATAGTAATTCAGAATGGAAATCACTAAACCAGCCACCTTCCACCCTCACCATCACGACCCCTACAAACATTTCACAATTACACTTTACGGTGTACCTTTGCTCTTGGATTAAGAGGTGTCAATCTCCCACTTCCTGAGGTGGCATTTAGCGGAGAACAAGAATTACTAGTAGCCCCGGAAGATCTATTTATGAAAAATAAAAGAGAAGAAGAGAGTGAGCTATCATTATTAACTTTAAAGATTATACAAACTGACAATTCTCAACACTGGCAAGAGCTTGAAAGCAAACGGCTGACTTAGGTCCAAATGAGGTACATTATTTATAACTTATTTTCACCAACCTGTAAGTCTTTGTTAATTGATAATGATAGGGTCTGGCTGTGTCCCCATCAGAATCACAACTTGAATTATATCTCCCAGAATTCCCACATATTGTGGGAGGGACCCAAGGGGAGGTAACTGAGTCATGAGGGCTGCTGTTTCCCATGCTACTCTCATGAGAATGAGTGAGTCTCATGAGATCTCATGGGTCTAACAGGGGCTTCCGCTTTTGCTACTGTTTCATTTTGCTTCTTCCTCATTTTCTCTTGCCACCACCATGAAAGAAGTGCCCTTTGCCTCCTGCCATGATTCTGAGGCCTCCCAGCCATGTGGAACTGTAAGGTCAATTAAATCCCTTTTTCTTCCCAGTCTAAGTTTTTATGAGCAGCATGAAAATGGACTAATATGGTAAATTGGTACCAGTAGAGTGGGGCGCTACTGAAAAGATAACCGAAAACGTGGAGTGACTTTGGAACTGGGTAACAGGCAGAGGTTGGAACAGTTTGGAGGGCTCAGGAGACAGGAGAATATGGGAAAGTTTGGAACTTCCTAGAGACTTGCTGAACGGCTTTGCTCAAAATGCTGATAATGATATGGACAATATTATCCAGGCTGAGGTGGTCTCAGATACAGATGAGAAATTTGTTAGGAACTGAAGCAAAGGTGACTCTTGTTATGTTTTAGCAAAGGGAATGGCGACATTTTACCCCTCCCCTAGAGATGTGTGGAACTTCGAAGCTGAGAGGGATGACTGAGGGCATCTGTTCGAAGAAATTTCCAATCAGCAAAGCGTTCAAGAGGTGACTTGCTTACTGTCAAAGGCATTTCGTTTCTTAAGGGAAGCAGAGCATGAAAGTTTGGGAAATTGGCAGCCTGACTATGTGATAGAAAGGAAAACCCGTTTTCTGGGGAGAAATTCAAGCCAGCTGCAGAAATTGGCTAAAGTAGCAAGGACCCTAATGTTAATCCCGAAGCCCATGGGGAAAATGTCTCCAGGCCATGTCAGAGACCTTCACAGCATCCCCTACCATCACAGGCCCGGAGGCCCTAGAGGAAAAAAAGTGGTTTTGCGGGCTGGGCCCAGGGTTCCTGTGCTGTGTGCAACCCAGGGTCTTGGTGCCCTATGTTCTAGCCACTCTAACCATGGCTGAAAGGGACCAATGTACAGCTCAGGCTGTGGCTTCAGAGGGAGGAAGCCCCAAGCTTTGGCAGCTTCCACATGGTGTTGAGCCTGGGGGTTCACAGAAGTCAAGAACTAAGGTTTGGGAACCACCACCTATTGGATACCCAGGCAGAAGTTTGCTGCAGGGCAGGGCACTCACAAAAACCTTCTGCTAGAGCAGCATGGAAGGGAAATGTGGGGTCAGAGTCCCCAGTAGGTAGAGTCCCTACTGGGGCACTACCTAGCGGAGGTGTGAGAAGAGAGCGCACCACCATCCTCCAGACCCCAGAATGGTAGATCCACCAACAGCTTTCCTCATGTGCCTGGAAAAGCCACAGACATTCAATGCCAGCCCATAAAAGCAGCCAGGAGGGAAGGCTGTACCCTGTTCAACCACAGGGGCGGAACTGCCCACGACCATGGGAACCCACCCCTTGCATCAGCGTGACCTGGACGTGAGACCTGGAGGCAAAGGAGATCATTTTAGAGCTTCAACATTTGACTGCCCTGCTGGATTTCAGACGTGCATGGACCGGTAACCCCTTTGTTTTGGCCAATTTCTCCCATTTGGAATGGCTGTATTTACCCAGTGCTTGAACCCCCACTGTGTCTAGGAAGTAACTAGCTTGCGTTTGATTTTACAGAATCACAGGCAGAAGAGACTTGCCTCGTCTCAGATGAGACTTTGGATTGTAGACTTTTGGGTCAATGCTGAAGTGAGTTAAGACTGTGGTGGACCGTTGGGAAAGCATGACTGGTTTTGAAATGTGAAAACATGAAATTTGGGGGGGTCGGGGATGGAAAGATACGGTTTGGCTGTGTCCTCACCCAGACTTCAACTTGAATTCTATCTTCCAGAATTCCCACGTGTTGTGGGAGGGACTCAGGGGGAGGTAACCGAATCATGGGGGCCGGTCTTTCCCACGCTATTGGTGTGATAGTGAGTAAGTCTCATGAGATCTGATGGGTTTATCAGGGGCTTCTGCTTTTGCTTCTTCATCATTTCCTATTGCTGCCACTGTGTTAGAAGTATTCTTCGCCTCCCACCATGATTTTGAAGCCTCTCTAGCTATGTGGAATTGTAAGTCCAATTAAACCTCTTTTTCTTCCCAATCTCAGTTATGTTTTTATCTGTAGTGTGAAAACAGACTAACACAAATACAATCTGAGTTTTAGAGCAGTTTTAGGTTTATGGGAAGAGGAGTGAAAGTACAGAGTTCCCATCTACCCCTTAACCCCCACTTCCAGAACACACACAGTTTCCGCTATTATTATGATCTTGCATTAGCGTGACAAATCTATTACAATGGATGATCTAATATTGATATGTTAGAATTGACTGAAGTCCATAGTTTACATCAGGGTTCACTCTGTTACACATTCAGTGAGTTTTGACAAATGTTTAATGACATGTATCTGCCATTACAATGTTATATGGATAAGTTTTTAACCATAAAGAGAAAAATGAATGTGCAGGGATGAGGAATGAGGTCCACGTAGTAGGAGAGTCACAAGACCTGGGACAGCACAGCACAACAGTAAGGATGCAGAGTAAACAGACAGGCCAGGTATGTCCTTAGTGTCACCATTTACCAATCATACAACCCGTCTAGACAAATCATTCAATTAGCAATGAGAACTTCAGTTACACTTACTGTGAAAGAGGAAAATAGCATTGGTCAATTCAGCTGCCCTGTCATGTATCACCTCCTAACTCTGTAACCCATAAACGTGGGTTACACATACATATGTGTTACTCACTTTTGTTTTCAGCAGCAACCTATGCCTTTCTACTTCAAGTTTATTCCTCACTCTCTTTCCTGCCAAAATTCTCTTCGAATTACTTTACTCTTCCTTTGCATGAATTTTTCCTAACCTAAGTCAGATGTTGCACACTTCCATTTTTCACAAAGAGAATAAAACACATACCAAATTCTTTTTTTTAAGTAAATATTCACACTGCAACCTACCTTCTTGTATTTATCCCACTGACAGGAGAGATAGTACTACATTTTGAGCTTTCTGGGGCTTCTGCTCCAGGAATAGATACTTCAATTGTCCTCTTTCCTCCTTCTAAAATATAAAAACAAACATTACTTTTCAATGAAATTAAAATTTCACTCAATTTCTATCTTACTGCAAATTGCACTTTATATTTGGTGGTTCTTTCTATATATTTTTTTATTTTTTAATCTTAGCCCAAGATATACTTGAAAGATTTTTTTTAATGAACTGTGAGACAAGAAACTTTAGTTAATAGTGTTAACTCATAGCATGCCAGTTCATAGAGAGCAAGAATCTTCAGACAAGTGACATGTCATTTCTGGAAGTAAAAAACAGAAATTAAGAGCTAGCCCTAAAAAACCTGAGATCTTTGCCCAAAAGAGTTTACCGGGCCGGGTGCAGTGGCTCAAGCCTGTAATCCCAGCACTTTGGGAGGCCGAGGCGGGTGGATCATGAGGTCAAGAGATCGAGACCATCCTAGTCAACATGGTGAAACCCCGTCTCTACTAAAAATACAAAAATTAGCGGGGCATGCTGGAGCATGCCTGTAATCCCAGCTACTCAGGAGGCTGAGGCGGGAGAATTGCCTGAACCCAGGAGGCGGAGGCTGTCGTGAGCCGAGATCGTGCCATTGCACTCCAGCCTGGGTAACAAGGGCGAAACTCCGTCTCAAAAAAAAAAAAAAAAAGAAAAGAAAAGAGTTTACCTAAAGTTTTCCCCCCACCAAAAAAGAAAAAAAGGAAAAAGGAAATTTCTGAAGTCGTTCAGTAAAACTTTAACTCTTGTAAATTGATTATGACTATAATGGTGGGAGAGGAACGTTGGCTGAAGAGCTCCATATGGCCAACTGTAAGTATAATTATGAATATTTTCCATACTTCAGAAGTAGGTAATCAATCAGCATGGATTTGCTAAGTATTCACTAATAAAGACGTTATGGCCACCACAGGCAGTTTCACAGAGGCGACTGGCTTTGCTGGATTTCCTGACTTTATGAGGTAATAAAACCCTATTTAATTTTACAAAATATTCCTCAGTTACCCTAGAAAACAAAAGAGGTTTTTCATGGCATATGGTTTTTAAAATTTTTATCATTATAGCCCACAGAAGTTTTTAAAAAAATAAGCATAAGAATTTTACCTATAAAAAGAATACGTTAGAGATAAATCATTGGATGGGAAAGAACACAGCTGCAAATTCACAACTCGCTTTGGAACCTGATAAATCACATTATCTCTTTGTCCCTCAGTTTACTTATTTATCGAATAGGCATAATATTAGACTTATCTACTCTTAAGGCGTGTTGAAGGCTAAATAACAGAAACAAAAGCATTTTTAACCATACAGAAAAACTGAAATGGAAGATGTCACATTTAAACACGAAATTCTTCTTAGGACTGATGTGCTTTATTTTCTGCCTTGTACTTAGCACTGATATCACCCCAGATGCTGATTTGTTTGTCTGTTGCCTGCTCCCCTACTCAAATGCTAGAGTAGTCAAGCCCACACATGGCGGGCACATATTACCTGTTCATATGGAGTTGACTGATTTCATTTATTTATTTATTTGTTGTTTTTTTTTTTTTTGAGACGGAGTTTCGCTCTTGTTGCCCAGGCTGGAGTGCAATGGCGCAATCTCGGCTCACCGCAACCTCCGCCTCCTGGGTTCAGGCAATTCTCCTGCCTCAGCCTCCTGAGTAGCTGGGATCACAGGCACACGCCACCACGCCCAGCTAATTTTTTGTATTTTTAGTAGAGACGGGGTTTCCCCATGTTGACTAGGATGGTCTCAATCTCTTGACCTCGTGATCCACCCGCCTCGGCCTCCCAAAGTGCTGTGATTACAGGCTTGAGCCACCGCGCCCGGCCCTGGTATTTCTTTTGGCTCAACATGAACTTGCAAAATCAAGAAAAGTGAAAACCTTCATATCTCCAGTTTTTAAATCATGAATTTGTGACCAACCAGTCCACGCTCTGAGAGGTAACTGAACAGGTGACGTTGGTGGAGAAGGGTTCAAACCAACAAGTTTCTGCTGCTCTATCAACTGCAGAAGTTTTCCACGAGCCTCCAGACTTTGTCGATTCAATTCTGCAATCCGTTCCTCCATACTACCTGATGCTAGAGACTGCGCTACTGGAAAAGTCTTTGGGAGAAAAAAGAAGCACAAATTCAATACTGAAAAATCTCTCACACAATTTGACTTTTCTACTAAGTGCCAGCAAGTTAGTATTCATAGCCCTTATATACAAATGTGAATAGTGAGCACACAGCAGAATTTACAGTCCCTTTATCTAAGCACGTATTCTGGGAAAAGCTTTCCCCTATCTCTTAGTATCTGCAGACCTGCACAAAAGCTCACATGAGCAAAGAGACTACTCCTAGTGAGCTGGTCTCTAAGTAAATACCACATGTCTTTGAAGACAGATCTGGGGTTTGACAGAGTACAAAACAGGATCTGCTATCTTTGAAAGAGAAGTTTCTATAATTACAGTCTTCAAACATGCAACATTTGACAAAGATTCTGGGAATCTTGTCACTCCTAACCATATGCCAGCCTCCCCAGGCCACTTTTGGCCTAAGGTATCTGATTCAAGAATAGCTGGTGATTGGAAATAAATATGAGACATAGGGTAAAAAAATAGCCACCCAAAAAATATAAGTTTAATGTGCTTATGTCATTCCTATTTCATTATTCCTAATTATTTCATTGTTTCATTCCTAAATATTTCATTTCTCTTTGGGAAAAAACAATCCCTAATAAAAATCACTGATTTTTAGCTTATGTCTATTAGAAATGAATAAATAAATAAGAAAAACAGTATGAAATAAAGATCATTTTGTATTTCCAATTAAGGCAAAAGAGGGTAGCAAGGACAGAAATATTAGTACCTTCTAGCCTGATCTACATACTAATTAGAAAAACAGGCAAGCAAAACATTAGATAGACTCTTTTTTTAAACCAAGAGTTGCCTGTTAGGAATAATCTTCAAAACTACAAACATATAAATACCTCCCAATGACTCAAAATTGAGGCAGTTGGTATGCGCCACTACCAATGGCTGCTTCCTACTAGCAATATTCCTTTCTGGCTCCTCTTCTGCCAGTTCCTTCCGTCTACTACTTCTATCATTCAATACCCATATTGTCCTTATTCCCCATGAGCCAGTGCTGATAGAGATGGCCCTTACTCTATGGCCCGCCGCACCCTGACCTTCCTCACCAAAGCCCTCCAAACACTGTTGTTAAAGCCCTTATGAACGCAGCCCCTCAGGAGCCTCTAATCCCCAGGGACAGTCCCCAGCTCCTTCTATCAGAAACCTGATAGGAGCTGCCTTGGCTCTAGAGGGATAAAAGAAAGTATCTATCCCTTGAAATCAGCATTTGGAGATCTTTTAAAAACTCTCCCTGGCTGGAATTTAGACTCCTTATCTCCCCCAGAAACAAGGAAGTGAAGATTTAAGATAGCGGTTAGCCCACAAAGTTTATTTAGCTTACAAAACTCCTGCACTGTAATACGCAGACCTTCGCTACTCAAAGTATGGTCCTGAGACCAACATCACCGGCATCATTTGGGAGCTTCTTAGAAACGCACAGGTCCGACCTCAGACCTCCTCAGTCAGAAACCACATTTTAGCACGGTCCCAAGATGATTAATATGCGTATTAAAGTCTGGCTTCAATAACCCTTTAAATCATCACTTCTGGTCAGGCGCGGTGCCTCAAACGTGTCATCCCAGCACTTTGGGAGGCTGAGGCATGCAGATTACTTGTGGTCAGGAGTTCAAGACAAGCCTGGCCAACACGGTGAAACCCTGTCTCTACAAAAAATAGAAAAATTCACTGGGCATAGTGGTGCACAGCGCTACTCAGGAGGCTGAGGCAGGAGAATCATTTGAACCCAGGAGGCAGAGGTTGCAGGGAGCCAAGATGGCACCACTGCACTCCAGCCTAGGCAACAGAGTGAGACTTCATCTCAAAACAAAACAAAACAGGCCGGGTATGGTAGCTCACGCCTATAATCCCAGCACTTTGGGAGGCCAAGGCAGGCGAATCACAAGGTCAGGAGTTAGAGACCAGCCTAACCAACTTGGTGAAACTCTGTCCCTACTAAAAATACAAAAATTAGCTGGGTGTGGTGGCATGCATCTGTAATCCCAGCTACTCAGGAGGCTGAGGCAAGAGAACCACTGGAACCCAGGAGGCAGAGGTTGCGGTGAGCTGAGATCAGGCCACTGAACTCCAGCCTGGGTGACAGAGCAAGACTCCATCACAAAAACCTCATTTCTATAGGAAAATGCATTCTATGTCCTCAAAAATTAACTACTAATGAGTTGAGGGCCTATACTCTTATGAGCCACTCTAAGGATGAAAATACTTTCAATTAACATGTGGCTGTGTGGCAAACATTCAAGTAATATGAAGTCTGTACTTTATCATTAAAACCTCATTCCTACTTAGTCTTAGCTTTTCTACACATTTTATCTTTGTCTTCTCATTCATGTAATTTTCCTTTTATGCTGTCTTGTATTGTATGTGCAACTGATTGATAAATAACTTGGACCTATTGTACTGAGGACATGCCAAAGCACAAGCCATCTAGCCTCAAAGCTTTCTAGGATCACTTCTGAAAAGAAGTTTCTTAAGATGCTCAAGCTAAAGTTCCTTCCTATTTAAATTCCTGTGTGTTCCTAATCAGTCCTTAAGTGTTACTCACAGAAGTCATGCCACTTGCACTTTCTTGTTTCTTGGCCTCCCGGAGTCTGTCTCCTTGCTCTCCTCCGGGCTCAACAGTGTTATTCATATGTGCCTTGATACCTGGATTCTGCAGTGTCAACTCAGCAATTCGTGCCACTATGTCCTTTCTTTGTATTAATGCATTCATTTCATTTGTTCTCAGCTGCTGCCCATCTCCCAGTGCTGGGGGCTCTTCAGAGAATGGAGGGTTTCTTGAATGTTGACGGTTAGAATGCGAATTGCAGAAGGGCTGTGAGAGGTTAACCAAAGGAGACTGAGTTTTCTCCAGATCTTCTCCCATATGAGAGACTCTCCACCTCTGAGTGAAGAGACGACTCTCTTCCCTTGAATTCTGAACGTCTGTATCAATAGGTAAGGTCTTCTTTTCCCAATTTTGTTCCTTCTCAATTATTTCCACAGTTGGAGGAATTCGTGGAGCAGGACGCGTTTGAACAGTCCTTCTCAATACTACAGATGAGAATTAAAAAATAAACACGTATTATTTTCCCATACATTGGCACTATACTTACTCGCCCACCATGGTAGTTAGAAAACTATTTTAATAGAAGGATTTGGCTTCTGAATACCTAAACTATTTTCAGTAGAGAACACCCCAGCAATGTCACCCCTCATAATCAAGTACAGAAACTTTTTATATTCCTTAAAGCATTTGTCAGTATCCTTATGAAAAACCACATGTCAAGTTCATATTTTAACACACATATTAACTTGCATCTGGGAATCTTGGGGAAAGAGGAAGCGTGTGTAGGCACCTAATTTAAACAACAGATGGCCAGGAAAGGCCTCTCTGAGGGAGTAAAATTTTTAAAGAATTACATATGTAATAGGAACTAGAGTAAAGGACATTACAGGCAGAGACAACACCATACGTGAAGGCTTAAAAAAAAAAAAACAGGAAAGAGCAAAGAAATGAGGCCAACCTACCTGTAGCACAGCAACAAGCAGAGAACGGAAAAACAGGAGATTAGAGAGGTGTGCAGTGGCCATTTCTGGCAAGGCCTTTTAGGCCGTGTTAAAAATTTTGTAATTTAATCTAAGAGCAATGAATACCTAGAGAAGGTCTGGCAATGATTTGATTTACATTTCTTAAATGCTGCGGGTAATTGGAGGCTGGCAGAAACGGAAGCAGGAAATCCAGGAAGCAACTGCAATCGTCTGGAAGAAAGATGAGGGCAGCTCTGACTGAGGTATACGGCATTAGAGACGATGAAAAGTAAACAAATTTGAGAAACACTTTGGCTAAGAACTGAGAGCAATGAACTGGAAGTGGGGAGTGAGAAAAACACACAGATCAAGATGACACATATCTTGAGTGCACAGTGATCACATTTACTGAGATGCTGAAGGCAAGAGGAGAGACTTGGGGGAAGGAAGATTCATCAAGAACTCGAGATGCCCTATGATTCATTTGTGTACCATACAAGCAGATGGATATATGGGTTCAGAAATCAAGAGAGACATCTGGGCTACGACATAAAACAGAAAGTCGCTGACATTTAGAAGGTATTAGGAGCCGTGAGAATGAGTGAGATTATCCAGAGAGAAGAGTAGAGGGGGAAAGGAAATCAGTATCAAGACATGAGGAGCTCAACATTTAGGGTCAGGTAAAGGGGGAAAATGCCAGCAAAGCAGACTAAAATGGAGCAGTTGGAAAGATAAGGAAAATACTACATAAACATGGCATCAAGGAAACAAAGTAGTTAACTGTGCACAATACCACTGTCAGACCTGGACACATAAGGACAGAAAAGTGTTCCCTGGACTTAGTAACAGGGAGGCCACTAGAGCCCTTAGCAAGAGTTGTTTAGGTGGAATGTCCTCATTGAAAGGAGGGATGCTTCTAGTTCAAGACTACAGACTGAGCACACATTTATCTTACCTCCTTTCATTGACAGCAAGGACATATAAAAGGAAATAAACCCATAATCAGTAAAGAGAATAGTCTCGGAAGAGAATCACTAGCAAACAAGATATTTCAGCAAATATCTGGAAGACTGGGAGTAGATGGAAAGTATGTGAAAGAGTAAAACTGAGCAAAAACCACAGTCCAGAACAGATATGCATTAGAAGAAAATGACAAGTGAAAGCCAGGATATTTTGAGGGGACCCCGAAAACACTACAGCCACAAAGCAGACAGGTACAGAGGAAGGAGGTGAGAAGTAGAACTGAAATCTGGGGGATTACTTGAAAATTTGACTATCGTAGACTTTTGCCAGTCAAGCTGCTGCACGCCACTTCCCTGAACAGTCCTTCTAAACAAAAAATCAAGGATGGAAACAGCAAATGTAAGAGCCCCAACTGAATGGCCAGATCCTGCTTATACACTCCAAAAGGAAGCCCATAGTGAGCATATCATGTCTATATACACAAAGCAACCACATAAGGGAAAGTCCACAGGGAAAACAGACCTGGACTATTACATCACAGAAGAGAAAATGTATGACAGCTACCTATAATATTCAACTTATAATACAAATGCACAATAGAAGAAAAACCCAGGAAAGGTAAATAGAACAGACCAAGAAGAAAAGAACATTCAGGTACAGAAGAAAATGTAGCAGAATTCATAATAGAACTGTAACTAGTATCCTCAGGAGAGTTTCTGGAAGATACTGCATTCATAGTGTCAATGAAAAAAGGACAACAGACAAGTAAGGGCTCTTGCTTGGAAATCAAAAATACAATTGACAAAATTTTAAAAATCCAAAAGACAGGCTTGAATATAAAGTGAAAAAATCTTCCAGAATGTAAGAAGGAAGATGCAAGGCCAAATGCATATGAAAATCCCAAGCATCAACATAAACTGTCTCCAGCTGAAGAAAGTCATATGTCTTTAGACTGAAAGGTGCAACTTGGGTCTCGCAGTACAAGAAGGCAAAAGCCCATATTTAGACATACCTTGTGCAATTTCAGGATAAAAACAGAGATCCTAAAAGCTTTCTCAGGAAAACAAAAAGTAGGTCCAATACACAGAAATAAAAGACATCTCATCATCAGACATCTCAACTGAACACTGAATACCAGAAACCAATGGAATAACGCCTGTAATTTCAAAGATTGCAAGGTAGTAGTGTGGTATTGCTTCCAAGGCCTCTGTTCTGTTCCATCGGTCTATGTCTCTGTTTTGGTACCAGTATCATGCTGTTTTGATGACTGTAGCCTTGTAGTATAGTTTGAAGTCAGGCAGCATGATGCCTCCGGCTTTGTTCTTTTTGCTTAGGACTGTCTTGGCTGTGTGGGCTCCCTTTTGGTTCCCTATGAAGTTTAAAGTATTTTTTTCCAGTTCTGTGAAGAAGGTCATTGGTAGCTTGATGGGGTTAGTATTGAATCTATAAATTACTTTGGGCAGTATGGCCATTTTCATGACATTGATTCTTCCTAACCATGAGCATGGAATGTTTTTCCATCTATTTGTGTCCTCTCTTATTTCACTGAGCAGTGCTTCATGGTCCTCCTTGAAGAGATCCTTTTTATCCTTTGTTAGTTGTATACCTAGGTAGTTTATTCTCTTTGTAGCAGTTGTGAATGGGAGTTCACTCTTGATCTGACTGTTTGTTATTGGTATATAGAAATGCTTGTGATTTCTACACATTGATTTTATGTCCTGAGACTTTGCTTAAGTTGCTTATCAGTTTCAGGAGATTTGGGGCTGAGACGATGGGGTCTTTTTAATATACAATCATGTCATCTGCAAATAGAAACAATTTGACTTCCTCCTTTCCTAATTGAATACCATTTATTTCTTTTTCTTGCCTGATTGCTCTGGCTAGAACTTCCAGGACTATATTGCATAGGAGTGATGAGAGAGGGCATCCTTGTCTAGTGCCTGATTTCTAAGGGAATGCTTCCAGCTTTTGCCCATTCAGTTTGATATTGGCTGTGACAATCCTGACAAAAACAAGCAATGGGGAAAGGATTCCATGTTTAATAAATGGTGTTGGGAAAACTGGCTAGCCATGTGCAGAAAGCAGAAACTGGACCCCTTCCTGGCACCTTACAATAAAATTAACTCCAGATGGATGAAAGACTTAAACATAAGACCTAACACCATAAAAACCCTAGAAGAAAACCTAGGCAAAACCATCCAGGACATAGGCATAGGCAAGGACTTCATGACTAAAACACCAAAAGCAATGACAACAAAAGCCAAAATAGACAAATGGGATCTAATTAAACTCCAGAGCTTCTGTACAACAAAAGAAACAATCATTAGAGCAAACTGGCAACCAACAAAATGGGAAAAAATTTTTGCAGTTTACCCATCTAACAAAGGGCTAATATCTAGAATCTATAAAGAACTAAAACAGATTTACAAGGGAAAAAAAAAAAACAAACAAACCCATTGGAAAGTGGGCAAAGGATATGACAGACACTTCTCAAAAGAAGATATATATGAGGCCAAAAAAAACATATGAAAAAATGCTCATCATCACTGGTCATTAGAGTAATGCAAATCAAAACCACACTGAGGTATCATCTCATGCCAGTTAGAATGGTGATCATTAAAAAATCTGGAGACAACAGATGCTGGAGAGGATGTGGAGAAATGGGAACACAATTCCTCAAGGATCTAGAAATAGAAATTCCACTTGACCCAGCAATCCCATTACTGGTATACACCCAAAGGATAATAAACTGTTCTATTATAAAGACACATGCACATGTATGTTCACTGCAACACTGTGTACAATAGCAAAGACCTGGAACCAACCCAAATGCCCATCAATGACAGACTGGACAACGAAAATGTGGTACATATACATCATGGAATACTACACAGGCATAAAAAACAATGAGTTCATGTCCTTTGTAGGGACTTGGATGAATCTGGAAACCATCATTCTCAGCAAACTGACACAAGAACAGAAAACCAAACACCACATGTTCTCACTCATAGGCGGGTGTTGAACAATGAGAATACGTGGACTCAGGGAGAGGAGCATCACACACTGGGGTCAGCTGAGGGGGGCGGGCTACGGGAAGGACAGCGGGGGGTGGGGAGGGATAACATGGGGGGAAATGCTGGATATAGACGAAGGGGGAATGGAGGCAGCAAACCACCTGGTTATGTATGCACCTATGCAACAACCCTGCATGATCTGCACATGTACCCCAGAACCTAAAGTACAATAAAAAATAATAATACAAAAAATAATGCCTGTAATTTCTAAGGAAAAAGAACTATTGACTTAGAATTCTTTAGCCACATTATCAATCAATCAAGTGTAAGAGAAAAATGACAACATCTTCATATTTTGAAGAACTCAGTTTACCTTGCATACACTTTTTCTGATTCTTTCTTTCAGAAAATTGTCAAAGAAAACCAAATAATAAGAAACAGAATCCAGGAAGCAGGTGATCCCATCCAGTAGTGCAATGATACCAAGTCCCAGGATAAGAGCTATGCAGGAGGCCCAGAGAGCAATGAGTGAGGACTGCAGCAAGTGTAACGGGCTTTGAGAAGGTGTCTCTGGGAAGAAAACAGATTCCACGCCACAGAGAGCATGACTAAAGGACCTGAAGACATGGTGAAAGCACTATCGTCAACAAGAGAGTAAAAGCAATTTGAAAGCCTATGCAAAGCAAAAACTGAACAAGACAGTCACAGTACAAACATATAGTGTACTAAAAGAGTGAGCACTTCTCACATGAAATAAGAATACACCTTGATTTTCATAAGAACTTCTTCCTTTGGCAGAAGGACTGGCAGTCACAATGGATTAAACAAGAAAATGCAACTGTTTGTTTTTACTTTTCAATATGTATATAGACAAGACACAGGAAACATAGTTGTAATGGAAGAGAAGGAAAGGTGTAATTTTTTTTTTTTTTGAGACGGAGTTTCGCTCTTGTTTCCCAGGCTGGAGTGCAATGGCGCGATCTCGGCTCACCGCAACCTCCGCCTCCTGGGTTCAGGCAATTCTCCTGCCTCAGCCTCCTGAGTAGCTGGGATTACAGGCACGTGCCACCACACCCAGCTAATTTTTTGTATTTTTAGTAGAGACGGGGTTTCACCATGTTGACCAGGATGGTCTCAATCTCTTGTGCAGAAAATCACACAAAATCTGTATGTCCCAATAATAATAAACAGTTATTTTTCTGCTCCCCTATGTAAGTAAGAATATAAAAAATCTTTCCAAAGAAATAAAATTCAGGCTAATCAGACCTGTATAATATTTTTCAAAAAACTTCAGAAGTGAGTTTAAGATAGTGGTTCTTTCTTTGACTAAAGAACTCTTTGAAAATGAAATAAAAACAATAGTTCCAGAAAAAAAAATGTAAGTGGAGACAAATAAATTTAATTTTCCCAACAATGAAGTTGTCCATGGAACTTCTGAAGACCATTCATGAACCCTAAGTTAAGAATCTTTGAGCTAAGGATAATACATTCTTAACGCATTTATTCAAAACTCTACCTGTGAGCTGCAAAGGTAACTCTAAGGCTATTTTTAATTGCCCATTAAATTTTATTATAAAATTCCCTCAACTGACTGAGCTGACAACTTTTGATGAGAAAGAGGTAAATACGATGACCAGATGTGACTTACAAAACCCTTAAAGCCACAGTCCTCACCTTTCATTGGTCTAGTTTTCATTATTCTTTGGAGTATAATCTCTTGCTTCTAGCTCTTTCATACGCTCCTGGCCACAGGGAAAAAAAGGGATTCCCTTTACTCTGCATCTTGATGCTAAGGACTCTGACCTTTTGATCTGAGTTTAAAACTTACAATGTTTAATAAAATAGATATACAATAAAATTAATTAAATGTCACATCACCACAGGTGTAACACACATAGTATGAAAATTCTTCCTTCAGCTCAAAGGGTATGGGGTGGTAATCAATGTCTTTTTCAATTCCGTTTTTCAGATAACGGTGAAAATAACACACTGCACAAATGAAGCATAAAAAACAACTTCCATGTACATTTAGAAGAAGGCGTACCGTCCTGCAAAGGAGAGAACTCTGAGTTGCTCTTCTGCCGGGGTGGTGTTAACAACACAGCTGGCTCAAAAACATGTGCTGGAAAATTCTTGGCCAGATTCATGCTCTCTGGAGCGTTTGGCACCTGAGACAGTCTAACAGGCAACTCTTCCTGTGGGAATCCAGCCACTTCTTCCTCTCCAAACACCAATGGCACTGAGACACTGGCATTTACAGCGGGACCTTCTGAAGAAGATGAGAGGGTATTAGTACAATAGGAACAAAAAGAAACTGTGGGCACATTTCAGGTATTTATTCTTAAAGGCATCTCAGTAGAGTGCAAAATCCACATGAATCCACATGGCTCCTGGAGCCTTCACTTTCTAGGCTGTATCCTCAGCTGCCAATCATTCACAGGCAGGCTCCTGGGGGGCCAGTACTGGGAAGTAGTTACCATTTTTGAGAAAGGCACTAGGACCTCAAAGCCATGAAAAGTGAGCCACTTAGGGACTCCTAAAAAAATCAATGTGGCACCCTAGAATGAAGCTTTTTCTTTTTTTCAGACAGGGTCTCTGTCACCCAAGCTGGAGTGCAGTGGAACAATTTTGGCTCACTACAGCCTCGACCCCCCAGGCTCAGGTCACCTTCCTGCCTCAGCCTCCCAAGTAGCTAGGACTACAGGCCTGTGCCACCACACCCAGCTAATTTTTTGTATTCATTGTAGAGATGGGGTTTCACCATGTTGCCTAGCCTGATAGAATTTTTCATTATTTGTTATGAATAGGTTTTTGATGGTCATAACAAGGAACAAAAGGCTAAAATGGGGCATATTAATGCACTGACTTCCATATACAAGGCTCCTTACAAAACACGGAGCTTCACAGGTCATGCATTATCACAACCTAGTCACATTCCATATGATTTTACAAGAGTTACAAGAGCTGAGACTCAGGAAGATACTACATAAATCTTTGGTCTCACCTACATAAATCCTTCTGACTTTTTCCACAGGCAATAACAAAAATTAACAATAATTCTGCAATACACTTACTCCCAGCCCTTCTCACCTATAGGATAATTAAAAGCATTCTCGGTAGTGAAGCTTAACTCAGATAACAGTAAAGCACTAACGCATTCCTTGACTGAAATATTAATAGCAAGACTCCACCAGAAGACAGAGACCTGCCCTAGCCATTGACTTCATCTCATGCAAGTTAAATTTTGGTCAGTCACTTCTTCGAATCCATCCTAAGAAACCGGTTTTAAATACATAGGGATAACCTGGGGAGAAACGCCAAATGTGGGTGAAGGGGAGAAAGGAAGCAAAACACACTGCCATGTGTGTACCTACGCAACTGTCTTGCATGCTCTGCTCATGTACCCCAAAACCTAAAATGCAATAAAAAATTAAAAAAAAAATAAATACATAAATAAATACATAAAACACTTTCCTTACAGACACTCATCAAAGTCTTACTTAAAAGTAAAAAACATGAAAAAACTGACATGTCCAATTCAGCCTGTAGCATATGATGGCACATGAGATGAGGAAGAAATTTCAAAACAGCACTACCACATATGAACAGAAGTTATGAATTTCTAAAACAGTATTTTTCTCTTTCCAAAACCATCTCTTCTGAATCCAGGGCATTGTGGTTAAAAGTGCTAGCACTTAAGTCTCATTGGTCTAGGCGTCCAGTTCTGCTGCTTTCTACCTGTGTGACTGCTAAGTTACCAACCCTCTCTCAGCCTCAGTTTCCTCTGAGGATAACACTAATGGAGGTAACAGTGACACCTAGCTCATGAGATGAACTGACATGATGCAGGTAAGACTTAGGTACCTGGCACGAGGCAGCATCTGATGTTAGCTGGGAAGCAGTGGCAACCGTAGTAGGAACAATTCTGTACATGCATAAACAGTCAGTAAGTCCATGTGAGTTTAGAGTCTAGGCTTTGGTTTGTTTGTTACCTAAGGCCCTTCAGTCTAATGACAGTCTGAGATAATAAGACCACACTCACCTGGACTGTCCGCAACTCTTCTACCTGTGGCTCCCCTTTCTGATGCCTGAATTTCCTGTCTGTTGTTTATCACCGGACAGTTCTTAACAGCATGTGTGAGTGATAGAAGGTGCTCATCTGTTGTGACCATATACTGCTGAAGTCTTGCCTGGAGAGGAAATCATATGAAATAATATTATTCACATATCAAACATCAAACCACCACCTAAAAGCAAACCACACAAACTATATGTGTGTTTACGCATGTATAATAGCATCATTTTAAATATTTCAGGAATTTGAGGCTTTCATTCAAATTAAAGCAATGCTATGTATAATTATAAATATTCCAATAGTCCCATGATAGGGAAATGGTTAAGAAAATCATGAAATAGTAATTAATAAATACCCTTCTATAAAATTAAGAATTAACCTTTCTACAGAGCTTTCCATTTACAAAACCTCTCCATATACATGTCCCAACTGACTCTTAAGCTACCCCCAAGAGACAGAGATACATGAGGTGGAGGAAACAATGAAGATTGCCCAGGCATTTAAACTGATAAACATGAACACTCTAAATATTTGTGGCAATGCATATGAAATAACGTTAAGGGAAAACAGAAAAGCACAAAATTCTGTATGTAATTAAGATGAATATTAATTACAACTTGTTTTTTATATATGTGCATAAGAGAGATAACACCATATCATATATGTATACAGATATTCTCATATTTGTCTATGTGTGTGTATATATATTTTTATATTACATAAGGTTTTTTTTAAATTTAAAAGATCACCCACAAAATACCTTACCCATAGATTTACCGAGTGTGTTAAGTGTTTGGAATTCCATTCTTACATGTAAAAGTCAACCAGATTGCCCAGAAGGTTAGATGAATTTGTTTTGTTCTTAATCTTTTCTACAAGGATGATATAAGTAGTCATCTAAAAACATCAGGTTCAATCACTACCATATAATGCTCGTCTTTCTTAAGTTACATATTGGTGTTATGCAAATGGTTCTTAGAAGTAGAGAAAATTGCTGGTAGAAGGAAGAAAAGGAGAGTTCTGTAAATTGCTGACACCCTGTAATAATAATAAAAGTAAAAAAATCAAAGGCTGCAGCCAGTAACAAACTTCTATCTAAGCATATATATCTTCCTCATGCATGCTTAGAGAGATACAGACATTAGATAATCGTCAGGTACTGCTGAATGAAGTATAGTAAACATTTTTATACCAGCCCAAATTTTTTCCCAAATTCCACACTCACATATCCAGTGGCCTACTCGGCACCTCCATCTAGAACTCAAATAGACTTCTCGAACCTCAGCTATATGAAGCCACATTCCTCCTAAAGCCTTCTCTCCCTCATAAACGGCAACTTCATCATTTTAATCACTCAGCCCAAAACTCTGGAACTACCCTTGACTCTTTTCCAATTTCCTCTGCTTCACTCCATAGCTAACCAATTAGCAGACTGCACCGGTCAGCCTTCGAAATGTATTAATCCTTCAGCCCAAAACTTTGGAATTACCCTTGACTCTTTTCCAATTTCCTCTGCTTAACTCCATAGCTAACCAATTAGCAGACTGCATCAGTCAGCCTTCGAAATGTATTCAGAATCTGGGCACTTTCCACACCGAGGTGCCACGTCTCACCTGAACTACTGCAGTAACTCCTCATGTAATATTCTGCTTGGTTTGGCCACCTGCTCTAGTCCCATACTGTTCTCAAACTGTATGCTGAGGCACCTCCGTCACCAAAGTGAACTTACAGGGGCACCAGAGGAAAATTTACATTTTCAAAGGAAATAGTGGTGCTTGCCATCTCTCACACACTGGTGAACTAGCAGGTCAAGACAGTTCACAGTCTCAGTGGCAGACTATATTACATTACTTTCTCAAATCTTCTCATGGCTGGGTTTTCAGTCGTTGCTAGGTTAAAAAAAAACAGTTCTAGAGGAAAATCAGTGTGGAACAGGAAAAAAGAATGAGTGTGTCCCATATGATTCCACGCTTTGAGAAGCGGTACAGTGCTCAAAAGGTACATATAACCCATTAGTAAATAATTGTAGTATTTAAGAGAAAGTAGTACTTTTTCTCAAACAGTCGGTTGTTAGAACATAGTTGTCTGGACTTAACAAGCAGAGTTGTTAGGTATTCTTTTGGCCTAGAGGTGTTATAAGACACGAAGGACACTGCGACCCAAGAAAGGGTACCAATCTCTGATCTAGTTTCAACACAACCCAGAGTAATCCTCTTGAACCCAAGACAAACCACGTCTCTTCTCTTTACATATGTATTCCCATCTCACTTCGCATAAAAGCCCAAGTCTTTCACCAGCGTGCGAGCCCCCATGCGATCAGGCTTCCCCGACCTTGTCTCCCGCCTCTCTCTCCTCCCCATACTCCACGCTTGCCACACCAGTCTCCTTGATGAATCTAAGACTTACCTGACCTTGTCTCCCGCCTCTCTCTCCTCCCCATACTCTACTCTTGTCACATCAGTCTCCTTGATGAATCTAAGACTTACCTGACCTTGTCTCCCGCTTCTCTCTCCTCCCCATACTCCACGCTTGCCACACCGGTCTCCTTGATGAATCTAAGACTTACCCGACCTTGTCTCCCGCCTCTCTCTCCTCCCAATACTCTACTCTTGCCACACCGGTCTCCTTGATGAATCTAAGACTTACCTGACCTTGTCTCCCACCTCTCTCTCCTCCCCATACTCCACGCTTGCCACACCGGTCTCCTTGATGAATCTAAGACTTACCTGACCTTGTCTCCCGCCTCTCTCTCCTCCCCATACTCCACGCTTGCCACACCGGTCTCCTTGATGAATCTAAGACTTACCTGACCTTGTCTCCCGCCTCTCTCACCTCCCCATACTCTACTCTTGCCACACTGGTCTCCTTGATGAACCTAAGCTCACCGGCCACACTCTCACCACAGGACCTTTGCACTTGCTTTTCCTCTGCCCAGACTGCTCTCCTCACAGCGACCCACATGCTCACTCCGCACCTCTTCCGGGTCTTGGCTCAAATGTCACTTCCTCAGACTAGGCATGGCCCATGTCATTTGTAACTGCACCCTACCCCATCTTATGTATTTTCTATGCCTTCGTGTGCTTTATTTTCCTTTGAAGTACATGTCACTCTGTAACTTACCATACTTCCACTTTTTGTTTTCAGGATTTATTTAGAATGTAAGCTCAATGAGGGTGAAGGTTTCTACATTTTGTTCGCTATTCTATTTCCTGTACCTAGAACAGTACCAGGCCCATGGCGGGTGTTCAATAAAGATATGTTGAATAAATTAGTACATTTTAAAACTGCACATCTTCCCAGGAGAATTAAAAACATATGTTCTGCAAAAATATGTATTTTTGCAATGTTCATAGCAGTATTATTCATAATAGACAAAAAGTAAAAATAACCCAAATGTTCATTAACTAATGAAGGGATAAATAAAATATGGTATATCCATACAATAGAGTATTACTGGGCAATACAAAGGAATGAAGTACATGCTAAACATATTAACCTTAAAACATTATGCTAAGTGAAAGAAGATCACACATTCCATTGTTCCATTTCTATGTAATATCCACATTGGGCAAATCCACAAACACAGAAAGCAGATTAGTGACTGCCAGGAGCTGGTGAGAAGAATGAAGAGTACTTCTAAACAGCACAGGATTTCTCTCTGGAGTGAGGAAAATGTTCTGGATTTAGATAATGGTACTGACATACAACTTCAAATATACTAGAAACACTGAACTGTACATTTTAAAAGGGTGGACTTAATGGTATGTGAACTCTATTATCAAATGTGTGTGTGTGTGTGTGTGTGTGTGTGTGTGTGTGTGTGTGTAAAACAGGGTCTCACTCTGTCACCTAGGGTAGAGTGCAATGGCAAAATCATAGCCCACTGCAGCTTCAAAATCCTAGACTGAAGTGATCCTCCTACCTCAGCCTCCCAAGCAGCTAAGACCACAGGCATATGCCACCATGCCCAGCTAGTATTTTTGTTTTTTGTAGACAGGTCTCACTTGTGACCCAGGCTGATCGCAAACTCCTGTCCTCAAGTGATCTTCCCACCTTGGCCCTCAGAGTGTTGAGATTAAAGGTGTGAGCCACTGTGCCTGGCCCTATATTATCAATTTTAAAAAAGTATACATCTATATCTAATGTCCATTAACACAAATAATTTATCTTCTAACTACTGCTTGTCTTACTTAGACAAGCAGTTCTCTTCTGGCAAATAAATAAAATAACCACTACCATATGAGAACAAAAAAGACGAACAAAATAGACTGTGTACACTCAAGAAGCACAGTCTCAGTGACAAGAACACATATAAGTATAACATAATTCGGTAAACTCAATAATACCAATATCCAGACAGTATCAGAAGTGCACAAAGAAGCAGAGTGCAGTGGCACATGCCTGTAATCCCAGCACTTTTGAGGGCCAAGGCAGGCAAATCACTTGAGCCCCAGAGCTCAAGATCAGCCTGGGCAACATGATGAAACCCCATCTCTAAAAACATAAAAAGTTAGCTGGGTATGATGGTGCACCCCTGTAGTTCCAGCAACTTGGGAGGCTAAGGCAGTAGGATCACTTGAGCCCAGGAGGTCCACTCCAGCCTGGGTGACAGAGTGAGACACCACCTCAAAAAAAAAAAAAAAAAGGTACACAAAGGAAGAATGCTCAATGCAGCATAGAAGCAAAAGGTTTTCTGGAAGAAAACTGTGTAAGTCTTTGAAAAAAGAAAAGGAGCAATCAGTCAAGTAGCAAAGAGGACTTTATGTAACAAATATGAAGATACTGTGAACAACTGTAAATAGCATCTGATATGACTGCAAAAGGACTCCTCGAAGGCTATCTTCTGCTGTTTTGAAATTAAAAGTGCCTATCATAACACTCATTTCACATTTTAGATTAACTACTGTAACAATGGTAGTTATAATTTAAATGCAGACTCTGTCTTCCCACTAAATAGTAAGTCTCTTAAAAGACAGGGAGACGGCCGGGCGCGGTGGCTCACGCCTATAATCCCAGCACTTTGGGAGGCTGAGGAGGGTGGATCATGAGGTCAAGAGATCAAGACCATCTTGGTCAACATGGTGAAACCCCGTCTCTACTAAAAATACAAAAATTAGCTGGGCATGGTGGCACACGCCTGTAATCCCAGCTACTCGGGAGGCTGAGGCAGGAGAATTGCCTGAACCCAGGAGGCGGAGGTTGTGGTGAGCCGAGATCACACCATTGCACTCCAGCCTGGGTAACAAGAGTGAAACTCTGTCTCAAAAAAAAAAAAAAAAAAAAGACAGGGAGACAGTCCATATACTATTTCCAAGCTTCTACTGTAATACCTCCAATGTAATAAATGTTCGATAATACCTACCACTGATGATAATGAGACCAATAAGTAATCACATCAACACAGTTAAACCGAAAACAGCTTTAAGAGAATCTAGTACATGTTTAAACATGTTTTATGCCACTGAACACATAAAAATTGGGATCTCGTCTGAGTACCTGTGTAGCAGCATTTTCTTCTCTAAGAAGAAGAATTTCAGCTGTCAGAGCATCAATGAGCTCTCGATGATCGCCTAACACTTGTTCCAATTGCTGCCTTGTCTCTACTTCTTTACGTAACTGGATCTCACTCTACAAAAAAATATCAAATAAACATTCCCCAATAGCATCACATGTTGAAACTAAGTTTTCACTCAAAGTTGGCAAAGAAGATATTTACAAAGAAGCATATATTATGTGACAGTAATGACAAAGATTTTTATTAAAAGGTTTACTATATTTAAGAAAATGTGCTGCTTTATCCTCTTCATTTCTTAATTAGAATAAAATGAACAAAATGCTATATAAAATTAAGTAGCTACATTTTTTGTAAAAAGGAAGTAGAGGGATATACGTATACATATTGTTTGAATATATACTGACCATCTCTAGAAAAACACACTGGTATCTGGTAATAATGGTTGGCTAAAAGTAAGCAAACAGGCTAGCTGTAAGTTAGGTATGAGAGCCAGACTTTTCATTGTATAATCTGCTGTATCTTTGAATTTCATATCATGTGACTATATTGTCAATTCAAAAATTTTTTGTTAAAATATAATTTAAAATAAATGACTACAACTTTAAATGGTTTAACTTTGTTAAAGCAAGTGATTCACTTAAAAGTACATGCTTCTGGCCGGGGGCAGTGGCTCACACCTGTAATCCCAGCACTTTGGGAGGCCAAGGCTGGCAGATCACAAAGTCAAGAGATTGAGATCATCCTGGCCAATATGGCAAAACCCCATCTCTACTAAAAATACAAAAATTAGCTGGGCATGGTGGCGTGTGCCTATAGTCCCAGCTACTCAGGAGGCTGAGGCAGGAGAATCACCTGAACCCGGGAGGTGGAGGTTGCAGTGAGCCAAGATCATATCACTGCACTCCAGCCTGGCAACAGAGCAAGATTCTATCTCCAAACAAAAAAAGGATTTCAGTATTTCAGTATTTCTTAGCCTGAAATACTTTCCAAGAGCCAAAGGTATACTCCTGAAGATTCCAAAGTTAAGGGTGAAAGAATGTTAAGGCTTTAATGGGTCTGACAATACAACGAATCTTTCATTTAAAAGGAATTTTAGAGTCAGGTGTGGTGGCTCATGCCTGTAATCCCAACACCTTGGGAGGCCAAGGCAGGAAGATCGCTTTGAGCTCAGGAGTTCGAGATCAGCCTGGGCAACATAGTGAGACCGTGTCTCTACAAACCAATACAAAACTTAGCCAGGAGTAGTGGCATATACCTGTGGTCCCAGCTACTGAGCAGGCTGAGGCTGGAAAATTGCTTAAACCTGGGAGGTGGAGGTTGCAGCGAGCCGAGATCATGCCACTAACTGCACTATAGCCTGGACAACAGAGTGAGACTCCGTCTCAAAAAAAAAGCAATTCAACTTTAGGAAGACAGCTCTAGAGAAACTGAAACATCTGTAATAAGGGGGTAGATCTATTTCGTTAAATAATAGATTTTCCTTAAACATTTCTGTCATATTTGTATAACAGGCTTAAGTATATAACAGTTTAGACAGATTTTTAAAGATGAAATACATAGCTAACTCTAATTCTGTGGCTTTCTGTGGACAGATTATTTGAAATCAAATTAAAGAAACAATTCTTACTTAGTTTATAAATTATTTTTACAATAAAACATCTCCCACTTAGACAATGAAGCTATACATGAGTTACCTAGATATGTGAGTTACTTATCTGTATCACATACAGATAACACAGAAATTTCCCCCCATCACATCTACAGATGACAGGCAATGCCACTCTCCAAACAGAACGTGGGAGTAGGAAGCAGAGAATAGCAACAGAATGAAGACACCGTTAATTGTTCTATTTAATCTACGACTGCCAAACAGCAACATTTAATATTAGCACAAGATATAATTATATGAATGGCAGATTTACCCTACTAATTATAATTTGCTAAAGCTCTTATTAAAATTAAAATCACTTATCTGAGCATGTATCTCCTAATGGCAGAAAAGGATTTAAAGGATAAGCCTTTACTGCATATAATCTAAAACTGAGGTATTTTAAACAAAGCTATTCAAATTTGGCTGTTCTTTATCTGGAGGCTGCAATAACTGGAGAGGAAAAAAACCCATTCGTTTCTGCCTGAAGGGAAAACTCTAATAACCCAATGTTCTTACCTTTTTTTTTAAAATGTATTTATACTAGAAGTTTTATTTTTACATTCACATCTGACAGTTTATTATATACCTTTATATCCGATAGTGTGTGTGAATACATTTAGTTGAGAGAGCTTTCTTAAAAATGAGCTGTCTGGCTAAGGGGTCATCACCACTTTGCAAGATTGTTCTTACCTCTTTAAGGTACCGAACCAGGCGACAGAGGGAGCTCACCAGTGACAAAGTGAACCCTGAAAGACCCTGGCTGCTCCCCAGTCCCTTGACCTCGCGACCTGTACACCGCTCATACTCTTCCACTTCGTGTTCCACTTCATGTATCATGTGTTGGAGGACATCCAGAGTGGAATTCGTCCTCTTTGGTAAGTCTGCAGAGCTTGTGCTACCTGATAACGTGTTTTTCTTCGGCTTGGAAAGAGCATGCAAATTCGGTTTTCTTTTCACTGATAATGAGAGAAGTCATTCTATTTTAAGACCAGGAAAAAGTATGACTAGACAACTACTAGAAAAAACTCTTGACTATTGTTCACAATTTACAAAAGGCTTTTATAGATGATATCACCATTCCTCTCATAAAAATTAAACAGTTTAAACCAGATTTACACTAGCTATAACAAATGCACTAGAACCACTGTTCGAGACTGACATGTGGTAAGAGACGTTTCTTAGCTACCATTCAACAAACTCTTAGTTGGAACCATGTGGATGAGATTAAGGAGAAAAAAACTTTACTACGAGATTAAGACGGCTCTATCAGGTGACATATTTAATAATTCATCTTTGCAAATTAAGGGACTGACCTTTATTTAACAGCTGTTTTGGCTTCCTTGAGTTCAGCATGTGTCCCACAACAGAGCTTGAGTCTAAAGTCTCAGTAGCCTCTTGAGGCTGAAGCCTGCTTTGGAGTCTTCTGACAGCACTGGTGGCATTGAGAGCAGCTAAAAGACACAACATTTCCAAAAGAATCTCAAGTGAACACACATCTTAAGAAAGTACTTCAATTGACAGATCCATCAGTATTTTAGTCAATTAGGCTAAGGCAGTCAAAACTCAAATAATACTCCTTTTAAAATTACTTCATTCAAGAACTCAATAAAGCAGGCGACTAAAATAATGCAAAGGGGAAACAAACCTCTTTGTTCCCCTGATGCAAGAGCAGATGGCGGCGTTCCTGGAGGAGTTATCTGTGACTGGGTTGCTATTTTCTGCTGAGTATCAGTCCACAACTTATTAATTAACTCAGAATTCTCCTCCGTTAGTTGCTGGAGAAACCTATAAATTATGGGAAAATAAGCTATATGAGAATTTTAATATAAATTAATATAAATGACAGCACCTACTACAGAATAATTCAACAACTAAGAGTTTGTTGAAGGGTAGCTGAGAAATGTCTCCCACCACATGTCACTCTGGAACAGTGCTTCTACTGTATACATTATAGCTAGCGTAAATCTGTTTAACTTTTACGAGAGTGCTATTATAGAATAGTAGGTACTATCATTTAAACTGTCCAAATACTTACATGATTGATTTGAAGGTGCTTTTAGTAATTCATAATCAAAGCAAAGAATACTGTTCACCTTAACTGATAAGACAGATAGACAGCAAAAATGCCTATCATCTTAGTGTTGGGAAGAATCACTGCATTGGCCTCCCAGCTTCCTACCTACGTGGGTCCCTACCATAAGCATGTTTGCCCTTTCTGAAGTTTTGTGGTATGGCTGCAGCCTCCTCTCTCTTTCTCTAGAGTAAAGTAATTAAGCACGTATGGCTCAGCCCTTTTTGGTTTCTGTCCTACAAAGGAGCCTGTCCACAGAGCAGCCAGTCTCTGCTCATCACTGAAGTAAACTGACCACAGCATACTCTGTCCCTGTGTGCCAGGGAGGGGTTAGAGAGGGTGAGAAGAGACGCTATAGTTTAGGGGTTCCTAATTACAAACACGTTGGTTACAGAGCTAACTATTATGCTGTAAACATCTTTATAACTGATAAAGCTGATATTTTAATTTTCAACTGTGTGATTCATTTGTCTATTTCTCAAAGTGCTGAAGCCTACCTTCTTCTGGAGGCTTCGTATAAAAGCAAGAAAAAAAGAGATAAATGAAAGGAAAACTTTAAGCAAACGGAACCAGGGCTTGGTGTTTTGAGAAGTCTACAGTCTGTCCAAACTGTAAAAGACTTGTAAAGTCGCTGTTAGGAAGGCATACTCTATAAAGAAGGACAAGAGTATGGGTGAATAACCTTTTACTAGTTCTGAGGAGATAGGGCATGTGATTACTGGATCTTCCTAATGATCTCAGAAGAAGCTAACAATAAAGATGGGATTATCCAGGAAGGGTCTGTCTATGGAGTAGCTTACCATGACATATACAAGACACCTACAAAATCTTTTGAGAATGTTATACCAACAGAAATACTGCTGGCTTGAATTGAAAGACACGAAGGCAGGATGAAATGAAGGAAGGATGCCAGACTCCAAAAAGTCTACAGACGACCTTTCTCAGCCTCTGATAACCATCATTTTACTCTCTATCTTCATAAGTTCAATTGTTTTCATTTTTAGCTCCCACAAATAAGTGAGAACATGTGGCCAGAGCTGCAGATCCATAGGCACAGAGGCCAAAGCCAGAGCCACAGGCACAGACAGCAGAGCCATGGATCCAGAAAGGTAAAGACTCAAGTCACAGAGCATTATTTCTAGGCCTTGAAACCTAATAGTATTTGCCCTGCTGAATTTCAAAGTTGCTTGGAACTGCTGATCCCTTTCTTCCTTGATTTTCTCTTGTAAAATGGTAATGTCTATAACTTTCATCCTAAGTCTGTCCTATCATGGTATTTTGAAAGCTGACAACTTGTTTTCTAGTTTCAGACCACAAATGAAGAATTCTGCACCAGGATGAATCATATCCAGTTCTCCCACAACTGATTTAGATTATGAGATTTGGGACTTTCGACCTAACAAGATTTAGATGAGATTTTTGAACTTGAAGTAAAGCTGAAAACTGAAGGATATTGGGATGGATCTCTGGGGGCCACTGGAAGGACCCCAGTAGGCTAAATAATAACACCTGAAGATGTTCCATGTACTAAACCCTAGAACCTGTCACTATTACCTTATATGGCAAAAAAAGGGGTGAGAGGAGCCTCTGCAGACATAATTAAGAATCTTGAGATGGGAGTTTATCTTGGGTAGGCCCTAAATGCAATCATGTATACTCCTTTTTTAAAAATGTTTCTTATTTCATGTATATTGTTATAAGAAACAGGCAGAGGGAGATCTTTGGCCCCCACACAGAGGAGACAGTGATGTTAAGACAGAGGCAGATTGGAGTGACGCAGGCACAGTTTCAGAAGCCAGAAGAAGCAAGCAGCAAATTCTCTTCCAGAGCAGCTTCTCCTCCGGAGGGAGTGTGGCCCTACTGATACCTTGACGTTGGCCTAGTGAAACTGATTTTTAAATTTCTGGCCCCCAGAATTTGGAAGTAATCAAGTTCTGTTGTTTTGAGCCACCAAACTTGTGAGCTATTTAATATACTTAATAGTAGTTATAACACAAAAACAAAAATGGGATATCACATGGAAGCACAGTATATACAAATACTTCACGTTCCGTCAAAGCAAAATATACAACTAAAAATGGGGAGAAGGATACAGAGAAAATAATGGAAAGAATAGGAATATAGAAAAACTCACTTATTCTACAGACAATAGACATTTAGAAAAACAAAAGTTTAAACTTTTTTTACGTCATTGTCATGTTATTAAAAAAAAAAAGTTTTATCTTTTTGGTTTTTTTTTAACATGACAATGACATGTAAAAAAAGAAAACAAGATGAAAGGCTCTATAAAAGGTATATATACAAAGGTAACCACCAGAACAAATTCCACACTTCCTAAATACCAAAAGGAATTTTTGAAAAGAACAGAAAAGAAACATCACATAGAAAATGTAATGATAAAGGGGGAGGACTCAAGATGGCACTGTGAGAACAACCCAGGATTGGAGCTCTCGTTGAATCCGCAAAGAGGTGAGTCCGAGCTGCATTTCCAGACTGATCTTTGTTGCCCACAGAATGGGGAAACTCCCAAGTATAAAAAAGACACGGGACGCCAGGCAGTAAGTCTGCCTGGCAAAGCTGGCAGCTGGGGCGTGGCGGCGGCCGGCCCTACCCAGCAATCCCCACAGGGCGCGCTTGTCCAGGTGCCCTGTTGAACCGGCAACCTGAGACTTGAGAGGGCTGGACTTGAGACTGAACGAGACTTGGACAGTAGGCCAGCCCAGGGGATTGCAGGGACAGAGCGTTCGGGATACCCAGTGGGACGAACAAAACTGCGATTTCAAACTATCCCGAGCAGACTGTCCGAGACACTCTGTGGGGGAGGGGCGTCAACCACTACCGAGGCAACCCGCCCCAACTGAGATACACGCCCACTGCTGACGCAGCAGCCGTTGCCGAGGCAACCCGTCCCTACTGAGATACACGCCCACTGCTGACGCAGCCTGCCGTTGCCGAGGCAAGACGCTACAACAAAGAGACTCCACCGCAGGGCGTGGTGGAGACCACAGCAGAGCCTGCAGGAACAGGGCGAATCACTCAACAGCAGGGCGGAGATTCAGCAGGCAAACAGTGGCTAGTCTGCCTCCTAGCTGGGCAGGACACCTCAAAGGACATCGAAAAATAAAGCCCGAACCCCCCAACACAGAGCATTTGAGAAAAAAAGGGTTTTTTTAATGAGCTCTGTTGCAGCAGAATCAAACATAGCAGCCTAACAGCCCTGAATGAACAACAGAGCTCACAGCTCAGAAATTGAGCTCCTAAAAAGAACAGACTGTCTCCTCAAGCAGATCCCTGACCCCTCTATATCCAAAAGACTGACATTTGGCAGGCATCATCCTGGGACAAAGATAGCAGAAAAAGAAACGGGTAGCATCCCTCGCTGCGCCACAGCTGCTAGAGGTGCACCCCAGACAAGCAGGGCCTGGAGTGGACCTCAGCAGTCGTACAGCGAAGGGGCTAGGCTGGTAGAAGGAAAACCAAGTAACAGAAATACTTCATCATCAACAATCTGGGTGTCCACTCAGAGACCCAATCGAAAAGTCAGTTGGTTACACAGACGACAAGCAGATAAACCCACAAAGATGGGAAGAAACCAGCGAAAAAAGGAGGAAAACACCTGAAACCAGAACACCTCGCCTCCCAGAAAGGACCAAAACTCTTCACCAGCAAGGGAACAAAGCTGGACAGAGAATGACTGTGACGAAATGACGGAATTAGACTTCAGAAGGTGGATAATGAGAAACTTTTGTGAGCTAAAAGAACATGTATTAAATCAATGCAAAGAAACTAAGGAACTTAAAAAAAGATATGAGAAAATGATAACAAGAATGGATAACTTAGAGAGGAATATGAATGAATTAAAGGAGCTGAAAAACATAATTCGAGAACTTCGCGAAGCATGCACAAGTTTCAATAGCCAAATTGATCAAGCAGAAGAAAGAATATCTGAAGTCGAAGACCCACTCAATGAAATTAAACGAGAAACCAAGATTAGAGAAAAAAGCGCAAAAAGGAATGAACAAAGTCTCCAAGAAATGTGGGACTATGTGAAAAGACCTAACCTACGTTTGATAGGTGTACCAGAAGGGGACGAAGAGAATGAATCCAAGCTGGAAAATACTCTTCAGGACATCATCCAGGAAAACTTCCCCCACCTAGCAAGACAGGCCAACACTCAAATGCAGGAAATTCAGAGAACACCACAAAGATATTCTGCAAGAAGAGCAAACCCAAGGCACATAATCGTCAGATTCAACAAGGTTGAAATAAAGGAGAAAATACTAAGGGCAGCCAGAGAGAAAGGTCGAGTTACCCACAAAGGGAAGCCCATCAGACTCACAGCAGATCTCTCGGCAGAAACACTATAAGCCAGAAGAGAATGGGGGCCAATATTCAACATTCTTAAAGAAAAGAACTTTCAACCCAGAATTTCATATGCAGACAAACTGAGCTTCAGAAGTGAAGGAAAAATAAAATCCTTTGCAAACAAGCAAGTACTCAGAGATTTTGTCACCACCAGGCCTGCTTTACAAGAGCTCCTAAAAGAGGCACTACACATAGAAAGGATCAACCAGTACCAGCCATTCCAAAATCACACTGAATGCTAAAGAGCATCAACATAATGAAAAATCTACAGCAACTAACAGGCAAAACAGCCACTTAGAATCAAAATGGCAGTATCAAATTCACACATAACAATATTAACCCTAAATGT